CTGGCCTACTATGTTTGTATGTACCTACTGGATAAGGACCCTCCATCACTAGAGGGAAAAATAATGAGAGACTACAAAGAGGGGAAGGCATATAGTTATTTTGCCTTGTGAAAAAATTAGATTTAGCCCCTAAAAAAGTGTTCCTTCGGGTATCAAATGACGACAGGTGAAACCTCACAGTTGTAGAATTATTATCTGTAATGTGATTTCCAAACCATGTGACAGCAAATGGTGTATGGTGTATGTTGTAAAGGTATTGTAAAATGCATTGTTTAACAATGTATAACAATGTTTAAACCGAGGTGGACGTATGGCCCTACGTGCTACCAGTGTCTGTGATATGGTGTATTAATACTGAAGCCCTAACAAAATTGTGCTTCAAAATGATCAAGAAGTGCCTCTAAAAAGTAAAAATCTTTGTTTGACCCCTTTTACCATACTCGTTTTCCCCAATAAACTGTAGTGTTATGAAAACCGTTTGGCAAACACAAAATTTGGTTTCGATTTCCAATCGTAAATATCTTGATAATCAGACAGGCGATCGGATTGTAAAAGTCATTGAGTTCCTGACTGACCTAAATTTATCATTGCAGCATGAGCTAAATCCAGGATTTTGTTTCAGAATCTGAGAGTAAGTTACCCGATCCCTTTAAATGTGTTTGCATTAAAGGTGGTACCCCCCCCCCCCCTTCTCAGCAAAAGTCCAGTGTGTAAAGTCAATACGGGCAGATCTTTTTCTTTGTTACGAGCCAGAGATTTTGGGAACACGCATGCGGTACCTCCGTTCCCGTTCCTGGAGGGGGGGGGGCGGGGGTGGTACTACTTCTTCATAAGATGTCAACTTATATGCATTGCATTAAACCTGTTGATATTGATCTAACTTGTATTCATCTCATGGTTATATTTATTTTATCAATAAAATAAAACAACACAGAGAAGGTTGTAGATGAGTACTAAGCAATCATTACTGTATGTAGGACGCCGAGTTGAAGTTATTCATGATTTATTCAAGAGAGGAAGGTCAGACAGACCTGATTTTTTAAATATTTAACGAGAGAAAAATCATAGAAACAGAGAGAGGCATCGAGAGAGATGTCGACGCTTAATGAAAGAGAAAGAGTGATAATAAGGAGAGAGGAGAGAGAAAGAGACAGAGAGGGGAGGGAGAGATAGAGAGGGAGAGCAAGAATTAGGTGTGAAGAGGAAGATCTAAGAGAACAAGAGATTAAATTTTACAAATGTACACGTTTCCATGTACCTTTACTTAATTTATATTATAATGTAAACGATATTGTGATGGTCTTTGCTTAATTTTAGTTTGCATTCTTTCCTTTAGCTTTATCTTCCAATTTACTATTCTAATTTAGTAAATGTTAGTATAAATATAATTTTGATTTCTATCTCTTCCCCTATGTCATAGCCTCCATTCTTGCTCTCCCTTCCTCATGTTAGTCCATCTCTCTTTCTCTCTCTCTGTAATGATAACCCCTCTATCAATCTTTTCTCCATCAACTCATGATATGTTCCTCCTCTTCTTCTTCTCGTTCATCATCACAATCATCATCATCATCTCAAAACTGTATTAATCAATCTATAAGACTCTTTAGATTGATCAATACAGTTCTTATAACATGACCTTTATGTACAAACAATAAACCAAATGGTCACAATCATTTAATAAAAAGTGGTAAGAACAATTATTCCAACTCTATGGGCAACAACGTAATCTCCATTTTCTCCTCCTCGTTCAAATATTAGCTTCTTTTTCATTCTTTACTTGTGTTACTTCTCTATCTCTCTGACTATACTCACAAGAAAGTAGAATCAACGGTTTGACATGAAACAGTCTAGAAAATGAACTAAATTTATTCAAGTATCAAATGATTTTGAATTACAGACAGCTTTCTCCCACGAGATGAAAAAAATATCTCCCTAACCAGAAACTGGCAAAATAACTAAATGCCTTTCCCTCTTTGTAGTCTCTTATTCTTCCCTCTAGTGATGGAGGGTCCTTATCTACTAGGTACACACAAATGTCTCTATACATAGTAGACGACCAGCTCTGCAGTCTGCATGCCTTTCTCCCCCCCCCCCCCCCCCCCCGCCCCTCTCCATCCATCGTCCAGTTTATCTCTACCTCGGATGGCTGACGGTACTCGATTTCCAAGCTTGAGTCCCCTCCTTGTAGAAAGTCACGTAACACTTCTGTTGTCCATTGTGAAATGAGCTCTCTCGTAGCATCTACGTTATCTTCTGATTCATGGGTCATAGTGTTTGATGATGCTGCAACTGATAAATAAAAGGGAAAAGAAAATCAAATTTAAGTTTGTGACCAAAGAACCCTCATGATCCTCATCACTTCTTCAACACTAGATCATGTAGCAGACGTGTATGCAGGGGGGAGGGAGTTTCGGGGGTTGAACCCCCCCCCCCCCTCCTCCAATTTTGTTTAGACTATGTGTGTGTGTTTTTGAGGAAACCCCCCCCCCTCACTTTTTTAATAACAAAAATAAATTAAACATTTTTTGTGCTAAAGGGTGACCCAAAAAAGGTGACCTTACCCCCCACCAACTGAACAAAATATCGGTCTCCCAAATTTCATATTTTCGGGGAAAAAAAGAAGGAAAAAAAAGGTGCTCTTACCACCCCCGGCTTATTCACCGGCTGGCCGAGTCGTTGTGAAATTGACTGCGTGATTTTCAAATTTTACCCCCCGGCCCCACCCCCCCTCGAAAAAATCCTCCGTACGCCCCCGTCATGTAGATCCTCAAGTAGAGCTCATTGATATCAGACTATTATATTCAGATCCAGATCGAAAAAATCTATCGTTTTCATGGCCTCTTTTACTTTCTTACATTTATAATTTCTAATTGCAATCACTTTCTAGGCCTAACTGTCGGCCATTCTAGTAGACCCTATTCCATTATCAATTATAGGATCTAGAAAGTCTATTCATATTTCATGAGACATAAATCTCATATTACTGTACATTTCTACCTAAAACACGAGACGAGTACGAGTGTACTTAAGCAGCTTAAAACTAAGACAATCAGTCTACTTAAAATGCACACACATTTGAACATACGGGACTAGATCTAGGCCTACATTTACTAAAGTTGGATCTCGGCCCACTCTCATTACGTCGTATTATCAGCTTTATTAGTCATAAAAATGAATAACCACAAACTTTGGTTTTCTTACCGTACAAATGATACTGGATTGGAAGAAAATCACTGCAGAATAGCGGACTATGTACAAGATTATGATGTTGATTCGATACGAATCCCGTTGTTTGCAACAGGACAGCTGATCACGGCGAAGGTGAAAATGGACTAGAATTATGTCCCGGCATGCTTTGCGATGAAACAACCGTGAAGGCACGTATTCTCCATCGTCTACTGTATTTTGTAAACAAAAGCGAGATGCATGATGGGAAATAAAGCGATAAAGCGGAACAACTGTGACCGACCTTCAGTTCGACATTTAAGGGACATTGCTCCTCGATCGGACATCATTTAACCGACTTAGGTCTCTTTAGTTTGAGCCTCAGGGTAAATCATTTATTTATTAGAAATTGGACGTTGGTCGATGTCACGGCCGGGGAGCATTTGTCGTACAATCGTAACATTAGGCGGATCCAGGGAAGACCTTATCCCAATGTGATTAAAACCTAAAGATCATGATCAAATCAAAATAGAACGAATTAAGCGAGTTGAGGGGGAAAATTCACCCCTGCACCCTGCCCCCTTCCCCGCCAACGTGGAGGTTTTGGTTTCTTTCTTATTTCTTTTATTTTCTCTTCTCTTTTAAAAAAAATAAATTTCTTTTCTTTTCTTTTCTTTTCTTTCTTTTCTTTTCTTTCCTTTGTTTCTTTTCATTTATTTTTTTTTCTTTTCTTTTTTTTTTTTTTTTTTTTTTTTTTTTTTTTTTCTTTTTTTCTTTTCTTTACTTTTCTTTTCTTTTCTTTTCTTTACTTTCTTTTCTTTTCTTTTCTTTTCTTTTCTTTTCTTTTCTTTTTTTTCTTTTCTTTTCTTTTCTTTTCCTTTCTTTTTTCTTTTCTTTTCTTTTTATATTGTAAAGTATTTTGTTCTTTCTGAAATCAAATCCACCCCTCCCCCTAAAAAAAAGCAACAACTGCGCATTGTGTAAAGAGGACGCTCTTTTAGAAAATGTTTGTTCCTTTGTTTTTATTTCTGCCTTTTTAAAAATAGAACATAATCATATACATAAAGTAACAATTATTTCTTTATTATACATAATTATACATTTTTTAAGTGCATTAAATAAGATGAATACAAACACAAATATTTTTCAATGAAGAAAGATAAATTACAGAAAACGCAGGAGACCGCCATTATGTCCGTCTGCATGATAGATTCAGGACGTTTGGATGACAGACAAGGGAAGATATTTGTGTTGTGTCTGATCCTATCAAACCCGTATACAGACAACCTGTGTTTTTTCCTTCTCTGCCTCTCTATTCCGTCGTAAATTAGGTAAAGTGTCATTGAGTAATCAGAAAAAGTAAAATGTGAAAAATGAGGAAACAAATTATCTTCATCCCCAACCCCCCCCCCCCCCCCCAGTTCAAGATGGAAAACCAAGGTACCAAGGAATCCTAAAAGCTCAACATTTTTTTTAAATATACCATTATAAAACAAAAATGATAATAATAAATGTACTTATATAGCGCCAAATCCACTCTATGGAGTACTCAAGGCACATGTAGAATTAAACAAAAGAATATATTCTTGATTTTTAAAGCCATTTCAAGACATCACATCCCCCCCCCCCCCCCCCCCCCCGACCCGAATATTTATGCCTCTAAAACTCTGCTGGTACTTTTAAATTTTCTCATAAAACCGGCCTCAAATTGACTCCCCCTAGATCTCGACCTAAAGCTCCCGACTCGATCATGCTGACAAAGAACACATTCTAGAAGAGCGTCCTCACTAAATGCGGAACTCCTCTGTTTCCATTTACGCATGCGCTTTATCGTGTTTAGCTCGAGAACTAGAGAGAGAGAGAGGATGAGAGAGAGAGAGCAAGATAGATCTGTGGATATCATGCTAACAAAACCCTGCTTTCGATAATGAAACATTATGCGTATAGTATGTACATCAAAGATGGCTGGAGTGTACTGTCCGGATCAGGTCGTGATTAAATTCTCAAGAACCTGTACTGCAAGAGAATTCATCCAGTGATCAAGACGAGCAATTCTTTGGTTAATAATTATGTGTGCCGACGTCGGATATGTTGGACTTTCTATTTCTCTGTCTCACAATGCAATTCAATGAATGATCACCGATTTTTGTGTCACAGGACATGCAGTTGAATTGCAGTATACACACAGTGCGGAGCAATGAACACCATGCAAAGATTCACCAATTATCCGAGGCGAGGCCATGATAATCGTCATACTAGTTCGGTTGTTTTGTTTTTATCAGGACTTTTATGCTTGTTTGAACTAAACAGCACTTCCAAAGCCTGATACGGTATTTTCACAGATCTAAATTTTGCTACATAGTGTGAGCTGGTTGTGTAAAACGAGCTTGCGTTGAGATCAAGTCTTCTCTTATGATATGATGGCCACTGTAGACTATGAATCTGAAGATTACAAGAAATGGAGGGGCTTGTTTGTTAATGCCCTTCGGAAGGTGAGTAGAACTTTGCTTATAATCTTTTAGAACATGATATGTAAAAAAACATGTTTTAGACAATATCGTCTTAAATCCCAGATAAAAAGTAGTACGATCAGATTAAAGAACTTGTTAAGAATCGATAGATCAAGCTAAATAAATCAAGGAAACATGTGAACGAACAAATGAAAATGAAAAAAAAAAGATTGATTATGAGTAATTATACAGTGTACTTACTTTAATTTACTTTACTTTAATACACGATGTTGTAGCCAAACATCATGGTAAATCAAGGTAAATTAAGGTAAAGGTAAATTATGTTGTCTTCTCTTATGAGTCTTAAAACCACATGAACCACACCGCACGTTGGCTCTCATGCTACTGAATACAGATGCATGTGTAATATATACATTATATAGATGACTGTTGTCTCTTACTTAAACTTTGAATGTGATTCATTTTCGTTTGCATCATTGTGTAAATGTAATCGGGTGGGGGCGCTCTAAAATCCGTCATAGATTTCTTGCACTGCTGGTGTCCTTAGTAGGGAGAAACGTTGGATTTATAAAGTGTACACTAACATGCTGCTGTCTTCATTTTTAGAGTTTTTGTTCTTAAATATGCTGTGCAGGACTGCAGGTATTGTGCCAGTGGAACTTAATTTGAAATGTAACCTTGATAGCCATCAGCTTTTTTCATAAAAATAATAAAATCAGAGAAATATATTGACAGTGCTATAGCACAAGCACAATGTTGAGAGAAAAAAACAGCCAATATACATGTACTCTGCAGAGAAATTCATGAACATTGAAGATTAATGAAGAAGTGGCTCCACAGAAAAAAACTTATCTTCAGGATTGAGGTATTTGTATGTGAACCTTAGATTCTTCTTCTTCTTCTTCTTCCAGTATAGTACAGTCCGCCGTTGGCGTATTATCGTACCTTGTGTACAGTGTTTGTCAAGTGCCGAGTGTACAGTGCAAGTAAAAAGGCTCTACAAGAATTCTATGTGCAAGATTTCGTAGAATCTTAGATGCAATCTGCCTTCTCATGGCATTCATATTGCAATATGTAGATAAAAACATTAAAAAGTGTAGGAAAGTTAAATCTAGATACATGTTATCACACGATAAGCTTACCAATGCCTTTCCTTCTTTTGTACTGTAATCATGAATTGTAGCAGAAGATTATTGCATCTAATTCTTTTTCTTCCTCATCTGTATCAGTGGTCAGACGCTGAGCCTCAGAATCATGTTGCAAAGCGATTATATCCAAGCTTAAATATAAGCACAAAGAACTTCAAGATGAATGTTTTTTCATTGGTGTCTTACCTTGCTTACTTAAAAATTGGAGTGTATGCTAGCTAGTAAGCGCCAACCGCCAAGGTTGCAGAATGTCCTTGGTAAACTTTAGGGGTCAAAGAAAATACGACAGAATCTGAGGATATTATTTTTTCAAACCTGGACTCCAGGATCAGGAATCTCCAAAACAGTGGAGGGATCAACTAAGAAAAAGAAGAAGATATCATGATGAGTGCATGGAACTGTTAGAAGATGCATTCTGTTCCATTTGTGCCTGCCTGGCTTACTCTTGAAATATCTCATCTCATAGGAAGAGAACAGGATTGCTGAATGTCCTTTGGGGTTGAATAAAATACAACAACATGAGTGTCTCATTTCTAAGATAAAAGGTGTTCCATGGGTGCCTGACCTGGCTTACTATTGGAGTGTCTGCTAGGAAGAGAAAAGGATAGCAAAATGTCCTTTGGCAAACTTTAGGGGTCAAAGAAATCCAACAGCACCTGAGGATCTAGCATTGAGGACTCAAGTTATGTATAAGCAGTTGAATGTAGTTCCTCTTTTCAAGGAACACTCGGAAGATGACTTTTTTCTTCCATTGGTGCCTAGCTTACTCTTGGATTGTCTCCTAGGAAAAGAAGAGGATTGCAGAATATCCTTTGGTTTACGGGTCAAAGAAAATACAAAGTACCTGAGTCCTGAGGATCTTATTTCCAAGCATCAAAGATAATTTGAGAAGCACAAGGAACCTACTAGCTAGAACCTACTCTTGGAAGATCAGCTGTATACCAGGGATGCTTTGATTGTGTTATTATTTGAGTGGCTGCTGAGAAGAGAACAGAATTGTATAATTTCCTTGACTCCTTTGGTTTCAGGAGTCAAAGGCAAATTCAACAGAACCTGAGGATCTCATTTCCAAGCATCAAGAATATCACAATGAAAACAAGGGACTCAAAGATGAAAATGGTGAAAAGACGGAAATGAAGGAAGGAAGAAATTGAATATTCATGAAGGAAAAAATGTTATCATCGAAGATCAGTAAAATCATAGGAATTTAATACTGTTCCTAATGTTTTCATCTTGCCTCCCAATACCCTTTTGGACTGATTTTTCAACTTGTCTTCAAAAGCTAAATGGCAAGCCCTTTAAAACCCGTCTACACTAGTTTATCCAGGAGGGATTAGACCTCCCTGCAAGGTCACTGACAGGTGGTTATCTCATCAAATAAGCTCCTAATTAACATAAAAAAAGGGATCATGGGGAACTAACAACCACTGATTAGGCGCAAGTAGCTATAGGTAGTGCAGTGGGGCTTTAATGTAAAGTAGAACTAATACAAATTCTTTTCAAAAGTAGTCAACCTTGGGTAAGTCGACCTTGGCGAGACTGGGTCACTGGGTGAAATGCGTCAACTTGGACAATCTTAGAGTTAGATTTGTGTCGTAGAAATACCGCTTATGCTTACTTGTACATGTATGTTGTCCCTAAATTGACCTAACTCAGCTTTCAACTAATTAAATAGGAGCTATCTAGACTTAGTTATTTGACAACCAGGCTTAGTAAGGTTTTATGAATATGAGCCGTGGGCAAATTTATTTAGTGTCAACTTGTCAAGCCCTATCCAACAAAATGATGACAAAACATTTAGCACAGTATTCAAACATACAATGTCTTACTGCCAGTGAACGTTCGTCTCAAACATATGTAAACAAAGAATATTCCTTCGTAGCGTAACTTACGCAAGAAGATCATGTACGCACATCTGCAAACAAGTCCCCCTGGGACTGTGCAACTGTCATAAAGAGCTGATTTGCATATGAATGCTACTGGATGAATACCCTGGGAAGAGAGTACCTGGAAAGGAATGGCTACTTAGTTCCTGATCAGGAGCAAGGTAGTGGTAATTACCAGCTGACAACTCGTGGTCATAACAGCAACAACTACCATGTACGGCCTCTCTGGCTTCAAAGTTGTTGACAGCAGCTACAATTAAAACTTTTGAAGAAAAAACAATTGTATTTTTATGTTCACTGTTCACAGGAGGTACCATTTAGATCTTCTCAATGTATTTAAAAGGTGAGATTTTCTCTGAAGTGAACTAAGTATCAGTTTATATTTGTACAGATCTGTTTCATTTTCATTTTATTCCATTTCCAGGAACATACGAGGGTCAAAGAATACAAGAAAATGAATTACAATAATGAAAACAATAACGGGGGAAAAGCCATCAATTAATGCCTGGGGATTACCAAAAGAAACTTTCTGTAGGAGGCTCTCCTCATTAGTTGATTGTATAATACCTAAATATACACAAATATACATAAATATATATAATGTCATAAGATATAATTTAATATCAAAAATATACAAAAGAAAAATCATGAGATCATTAATATGAAATAATCATATGTTGTCCAACTTACATGTACATGCAAACATGTACATCTATGGTACATGTACATGTACAGTGGACCTGTGCGATATCTTGCACCAATTAGGCATCTTGGATTCATGATTTTAATTTTGTGCTAAATTAAAAACAGATTTACCACAGTCCACAGGTATTGATGTTTAATTTTTCATGTACCGGTACTGCACACAGTTCTGTAATTCTATTTGTGTGATTCTATTGTATGATTTCACTAAAGAGATGAACAGAGACATGTACATGTAGGGCTATATGCCTGTAGTTAAATACATATATTGTATTGCTTCTTCATTTCATTATCTGCATATACATGTACATGTATGATGTATACAAAAAATGGATAATTTTCATTTTTTATTTGTTATTGGAAGGGGGGGGGGGAAACATTTATGTGTAATGTGTCTGTTATTTGTTAGACTTCAATATATAGGCATATATTATGTAGAGGTGTCGTGGTCTAGTGGATATGTCACTGGACTAGGGCTCTGTTCGAGTTTGAGTTCCGCCCTCGAACTATGTCCTTTGGCAAGACATTAATCTACATTTGCCACACTCGACCCAGGTGTGTGGTAAATGGGTACCTGGCAGGAATTAATTCCTTGAAATGCTAGAGCGCTGTAATGGCAGTGATGATGTAGCCAGGAAAATAATGGAGTGCTAATAGTGTCAAGTCTGACAAACATACATAATGTTAGTGCTATACAATAACCCACTATTATTATCATTATTATTATTATTGTGTAACTCCTTCATTAGTCTTCGACTGCATATATATAACAAAAAGTAAATTTTCCCAATATTATTTTTTTTTTAGGGAGGGTGGGTGGGGGGGGGGGGGGTATTTGTATTTCTTATAGGTCAAATGTCAACTCTATCTCAGTAACATTATCAAGTATGGAGGAGTGTATGACTCAGAAGTGTGGGCTGGTGGCTATCTTGAATTAGACTCCTGTTTGGCACGATGATGAGTAACGTTTCAGTATTGGTTTTCCTCTTGGGCACAATTTACAGACTACATGAGAAGTGTTTGATTGCAGGGAAGTCTTTTAGCTTCTCTTTTACTGTTTATCAATGTAATTAAGCGATGAATACTTCATGCAGGCTGTTTTATTTTCCACAAGAGGAGAACAACTAAGAGATGGGGGTGATTTAACTGAGGAATGATATTCTTGTTGTAGACATGATGCCTGTCTTACTTTTATAGTTATTGCCCCATTATGTATTCAATGTAGGACTACAATAGTCTTTACAATCTAATACATGTCAAGTTCATGTGTGTTTATTTTTTGTATACTCATTACAGTTGTTTGCATTTGTTATGTAATCAAGGAGCAACATTTTGGCTTACATTTCCAGGATACCCATTCCTTAATAGCCTGATCCATGTATCCTACAGTATATCTTAACTATCTGACTGCTGAATTCTCTCTCTCACATAGACTTAATACACGAGCTACCAGGTTCCAGTAGGCAAAGGGTTAACAAAGGCAATCACACTAAAAGTATGTGAAACTCCATGTAGAAACAACAAGTCGGGCCCAATGAAAACAAAATTGAATTTGCATTACGAGGACATCCCGAAATAGAGTGAAATGAAAGGGCTGTAACCTAGATGTTCTTTCTTCATATGAACAACATATAATTTCATGCCTGATAAAATGTTTGCTCATGTCCTCTGTCCCACAAAGCTTGACCCCACGTAATCAGCAAAATATGACGAAGGCTTTTGGATCTCAGATCCGTTGATTACTGCTGCAGACGCATTAGTCACCCCTACACTGCCGCCACTACTCGTCCTGTACCGCTATTCACAGCAGCAGCACGTGCACTTCTGCCACACATACACACAGACACTTGTTTACGCATATGTGTTAAGAGTCAAAGGAGCAAAGAGAGACATATGACATCAATGTTGCCATGGCGACGGCAGGGCAATTTAGAAAGTTTTCTGGAGGGATGCAGAAGGAAATTGCAGTGCTCACATAGAGCTTTGAAAAAACATCTTATTCCCACTTGGAATGGCTTCTGTGCTTGCTTCTTCTCCAGTCCGGGCGGGCGGTAGTAGGGTGGGAGCCTTTCAAGGTATAAACACTGACCCGATGTGGGTGTGATGATTAGAGAGAGCCTCAACATGATGATCACATTGGCACCATACGATGTACATTCAGGGATTGGGTCAGAAGGATTGCTAAGATATTGTAATCGTACTGGAATGGTATATAGAGCCAATCCATTGCTTTGAGACAATTTACAATCACCTCACTTTTAAATTAAATTATAATAATATAGTTGGGAGAATTCAGGAATCGATCAGATCAGTCTTTTCCAATTTGTATCAATAATAATGGTCTGTTTTCACTCAAACTTCAGATTATCTTTAATTGTACATCTAGCAATGAATCTACTACCTTAGCACTATTTTCTCTCATCTTAACAATGTTACCAAGTCCCTTTAATATTGCGTTTTATAAGCATAAGTTACATGTAACCTTACGCAAGATAACCATGGATTAAATTAAATAATACAATGTGCACCAAGCCATGACAATAACATCTTTGCATAAGCTAATCCAATGATTCGATAAGCATTGAATAAAAATATAGTGCTTTATATATATTAAATATCTTGTACATAAACCTTAAATAAACATATTCCTGAAAAAAAAAGGGTAGACAGAGAGGATTTCTTCTGGATTAGTTGGTGTTGTGAAGTGATGGGTAATGAAATCAGTTAAAGTGACTTCTCCCAGGGCAGTGGCAGACAGAAAAACAGCCCAGAATAGAAACGGTCGGTCGGTCGGTCGGTTGGTCTGTCTGCCAATCCCAGGGTAAGGGTTGCTTAACCAAGGTAGACATGAGCTACTCACCCCAGTCACTAGACGAGTGTAGGAGACAGGTCATTAGAAATTCACTTATTATTCACCCATTGCCTGCCTGCCTGCCTGCCTGCCTCCCTGTGACCTTAACAAACGTGGGCTACTGTTTTGATGTCTGTGGGTATAGCAACTGCAGAAATATGATTTTGACCCATAAAAAAAAGGGGGAGCATGGTAACAAATTATCATAATGATGATATTGATGATGATGATGATTATAGCAGTATGAGAATGAAAGTAATGATGATGATGATGATGTTGACGATGATGATGATATTGATGATGATGATGATAGCAGTACGAGAATGACAGTAATGATGATGATGATAAGGATGATGATGAGATATTGTTGATGATGGTGATGATATTGATGATGATGATGATAGCAGTATGAGAATGACAGTAATGATGATGATAAGGATGATGATGAGATGTTGTTGATGATGATGATATTGATGATGATGATGATGATAGCAGTATGAGAATGACAGTAATGATGATGATAAGGATGATGATGAGATGTTGTTGATGATGATGATATTGATGATGATGATGATGATAGCAGTATGAGAATGACAGTAATGATGATGATAAGGATGATGATGAGATGTTGTTGATGATGATGATATTGATGATGATGATGATGATAGCAGTATGTGAATGACATTAATGATGATGATGATGGTGATGATGTTGAGGATAATAATGATATTGATGATGATGATGAAATTGTGAATAAGGAAGATGAGGATGATGATCTCAGCTTCTATATCACTGATATCTGTAGAGGTTAAAGATTAGGAATCGAAATGCTAAATGGTTTGTTGAATTGGAACAGGGATTCATAGCCCAAGCCGAGCACTTCACTGAGGAAAATCACTAATCATCTAATACAAAATGTAATGAGAGATACATATAAATCAATGCCATAGGTCCCATGTGGCTTATCTACATATGTACATGTACCACCATTGAATAACCTGTAGTAGTGTAGTCATGTAAATTGTGCATTTTTTCGTATTAGAGATAAAGGTAACATGCCTTACAACAGAAAGTGGCAGGAATCTGCAACAATTTGAGAATAATTTTAGGAGATATGTAAGCCAAAAGCACTGTCCCATTTAACAGCCCAGAATAGAACAAAACATTGTAGTTCTGAGTACATTTTACATCATTTATTTGGGCTAGACCCAAATTTGTCAGCAATTACGGCACATGTGACCTACATGTAAGCATCGTCATGTGATAGTTTGTAGTGCATGTAGTTAAAAGCAAAAATTGGCAATATCCATACAGAGCCATAAATGATGGTGGAAATGCAAATCAGAAAGAACTCTTTTGATCTAGCATGATGCTCCTTGGCCTAGTTTTTGTTTGGTTGATGGCAAAGGGCATACAGTACTTCTGTGGTATAATTGATAGTTTGGTCTCTGTAATCCCTTCGAGCCTGTGAGTCAGGGTAGACAGAGAAATTGTGTGTAATGATTTATGATCACTGAATCAACAATAAACACAATGGTTTATACCTGTAGGGTAGAGGAATGTGGTAAAAGAACCAGCACGCAACTGAGGCATACATGTACAGTGTAGCTCAGACTGGTACTATTGACACTTTCACACCAGAGGAAATATACATGTAGTATAACCGTATAACGAAAGGAGCATACACACAGGATGAGAATATTGTGTGAAGAACAGCTAGTTTTTGGAGAAGTCACGGTAGCTAGTGCATGTGTACATGTACAGATAGGTACAAGAGTGAATATGGAGGAGGAAAGATCTCATTCAGCGCGCCCTGAAGAAAAGCTACACAGAGTTATTATTAATCTTATCATATACATGATGTGGTTTATATTGTCTTCATATGAAATGTATGAATTTACTTGTCTGAATGGGGTTCATGTCTTGCTACCCTGTTCGTATTTACAGTGGGGAACTAAATGCTTCCATATTGTGACAGGAAGTTGTCTCCCTGTCTGTACGGAATGAGTGAAGCTAGTGCTCCCTATTCCTGTTGCTATTAGTTACTAGTTAACAGCATTCTCTGGCTCCAAGATTGATTATGGCCTTGTGCAACTCCTGGATATAGGCCTGTCGTTTAAACCTTTGTGAGATCGCAGTCGATCAGGTCACTCATCTTGGCTACGTCACTTCCTGCACCACTAGCTTCTATTCTCTTATTCTAAATTTTCATATGTGAACTCATTCCAGGCCTTGCTGTCTCTTCATGTTGACCTCTAATGCAAATCTGTTAATCTTCACTTTAAATTGTAACCGTTTTGTTGCTGGTCCGTATTAGACTGCTAGTGTAAAAGTGGTTTCATCCTTCTTGACTGGAAACATATCTTCAGTCAGTACAAGGAATGTACATGTAGATCGCTAGTCACATCCACATTAAAATTGCTCAAATATTTGAATTCTTTTTCTCTCAAGCGGTATTCGGCAGAGCTGTAATCATATGTATAAAATCTTTCAAAATTGCAGATTAAAAGGATTTCTTTGCTATGACTGGTGTCACCTAGGGGCTTAGTGTCACCAAACATAAATACAGTGGCATTATTATAATTGTAAAAATGTGCACAGCATCAAGAACTTACATACAGTGTATGAATTGTACTCTTTATTATTTTGTTATTATCTCTGTATTTATTTAAAGTCTAGGCAATATTTTTAAATGAATCAAACAGTGAGAATTAACCTGCTTTCGTACATGTATGTGGGTGTGATGTAGGTGCTCCCTCCATTGTTATCCTTTTCATGGTTTGGTAAGTCAGTAATCAAAGATTAGCCTGGTAAATATGGAATATTGCTATTTATTTACTTAATTTATCAGGTACCTGTACCTATAGACAGACCTCCATCTTTTCCCTTTATATGCAAAGCCACCAGTTTGTTAATTCTAAACACATGTATGGGGGGGGGGGGGGGGAGAGATTTTCAGATGTAATATCTTCATGCTCTACATGTTTATTTAGAATATGTGATAACATATTTTCCCCTCTCTTTTACCTCTCTTCCTATATCTCTCCTTTCAATATATTATCTCTTCTCTTCTCCCCCTCTCCCTCTCTCTGTATCTCTCCCTCTCTCTTTCTCCTCTCTACCCCTCGCTCTTGCACCTCTATACTTCTATGCTTCCATCTCTCTCTCTCTGCAGGTGCAGCAGCAGGTTCATTCCAACCTGCAGGCGGACGAGGACTCCTTGGAATACATTGAAAGTCTCATCATCTGCCTCCTCAACATGCTGTGCAGCGTCCAGCCCCACAGCGTCCACGAGATCGAGGACAGGGTTCAGAAGACCTTCCCTCGCCCCATCGACCAGTGGGCCATCAACGACGCCCGTCTGGCCCTGGAGAAGGGGCGCAAGAAGGCTCCCCTGGTCCTTCCGGTTGAGAAGATACACCAGCTCTTGAGGGTGAGCCAAGGTTTTTTTTTTTTTTTTGCATCTATATAACTGTTTTAGGCCTACTATAATTCAATTCAAATAAGTAATAACCTGACTTTATCAGTTTCACTTTGAGGGGAAGTCCCTCTTAACATCATGCTGTTTTTAATAAATCAGACAATGGGAGAACAGAACAGTAACAATTTGTGTATGATTTGATAAAATAATAGGAAGTTATTAATTTGTTTGTTAATCAAAATCATCAAACCCTAATTGGCAACTCTGTGGTTTCCTTTGTGAGCAGCTCTTTGATTGTTTTGAAACAACGCTGCGTGGTAGCTCCATTGCGGTCCTTACTTAAGTGATGTGGTGGCACAAACTTTGATATAGTTCTACTGGTAGTTTTTGTTGGAAAAATAAGTTATGAAGTTTATTCACAAGATTGAAAAAACTTCATGTCAACAGTGCAACACAATTTGCTGGTAAGGTGTGTGGAGTTATTCTAGATATGTCCTGTACCATTGTACCATAACTGGTATTAGGCCTGAGTCATCACGGGTTTTGCCGAACCCGGGTTTGACTTGAAAATTTCGGGCGGGGACCGGGTACCCGAAATTTTCACCACTGCACTGACACTAAAAATCGTGTGCATGCAGCGGCGGGAGTTAGACTAAGTTGCTGTTCTAATAATGCGACGGAAAAGACAGTTACTGCTTTCAAAACAATAAAATAATCAATGGAATTAAATTAAGATGCTTTAAAAAATAAATGGATATCGTTTCAGTTGACGGTAGGTGTTTTTATCGCTCTAAAATTGAGGCTGCAAGAAAGGAATCACGCTTCGTGGTACCGATCGCGTGCGTTCAGAAACGGAAGTGGAAATAGATCTATGACCCACTGAAGACAGAGCAAGAAAATGCCACACACAAGACTAAAATGTTGATCAGACTATTGCAATTAAATCGTAATACTAAAGGCATTAATTTAATTGTCAAAATATATCCACAACATAATGGTTTACCCTTGATAGTTTGATGAAGGAAAATAAATTAAAGCTCTTGAAATAACATCGAAGTGCCTTTCGTTCGTTCTAAAAATGCGTGTATAAATAACGGCAAGCAGAAGTTACGAGTCAAGCTTGATATGCACGTTTACATCCCTACACCGTCATCCGACCTGATCGGAACAATAAGCATTAAACCAATTAAAAAACATCACGGAAGACTTTAAGGGACTCCAATTCAACAAAATTACCGTAAAATAATTATTTGCTTTGACGAATAATACTATAGATATTCATAATATCTTACAGAAATAATGATATTTCATGAGCTACGTACTCGATATCGAGTTCAGCTAGCCATCATTTTGAAATGAGACGTAGTTGTCATACAGTAGAGTGTAGAGGGCAGTATGCAGAAGAGAGAGGAAAAAGCGCGGGCCTGAGATCACGTGATATTCACGTGACTATTACGTGATTTTTTTTTTCCCTCTCTAGCTGCGAGCTGCCGCATTCTGCGCTGCATGCATGACAACTACGTCTCATTTCAAAATGATGAATAGCTGAACTCGATATCGAGTACGTAGCTCATGAAATATCATTATTTCTGGAAGATATTATGAATATCTATAGTATTATTTGTCAAAGCAAATAATTATTTTACGGTAATTTTGTTGAATTGCAGTCTCTTAAAGTCTTCCGTGATGTTTTTTAATTGGTTTAATGCTTATTGTTCCGATCAGGTCGGATGACGGTGAAGGGATTTAAACATGCATATCAAGCTTGACTCGTAACTTCTGCTTGCCGTTATTTATACACGCATTTTTAGAACGAACGAAAGGCACTTCGATGTTATTTCAAGAGCTTTAATTTATTTTCCTTCATCAAACTATCAAGGATAAACCAGTATGTTGTGGATATATTTTGACAATTAAATTAATGCCTTTAGGATTACGATTTAATTGCAATAGTCTGATCAATATTTTAGTCTTGTGTGTGGCATTTTCTTGCTCTGTCTTCAGTGGGTCATAGATCTATTTCCACTTCCGTTTCTGAACGCACCCGATCGGTACCACGAAGCGTGATTCCTTTCTTGCAGCCTCAATTTTAGAGCGATAAAAACACCTACCGTCAACTGAAACAATATCCATTTATTTCTAAAGCATATTTATTTGATTATATTGAAATATAAGTTTGTGAATTCCACATTTTTAGTTCTATATTTCAAAATATCAGTGTGAAATTTAATTTTGAAAAACCCGAAACCCGAAAACCAAAAACCGGGTTTCAGCTCGACGGTCGGGGCCCGGGCGGGGACCCGTTTCGACTCAGGCCTAACTGGTATAGTCATTGTAGTCCCATATATGCTGTTTTGACTGCCGATTCAGGGTTTGAGGTGACCTGATTTTGACTGTCATTGCACATAGGCCTCATCGAGAATTTTTGATATTTTCTTTTACGAAAATACTCTGGCCTTTACGCCAGCAAATACGGTAGGTCCTATAAGCTCTCAGTCTCATGAGCTTGCAATTTTGTAAAGTCTGACAAATATAAATCGTCATGCCAGTGTAGTATTTTGTATTCTGCATGCAAAATATGGCATGATCTTTGTACAGCGTAGGTTTTAATTATGGTAAAGAATATCCAGGGCAGCTACTAGATGGGAGAGAATTTCATTCAAAGGGGATTTCCCATTTATTTTTATGACAAGATAGTTTACACTCGTGTTTTGGTAGTCTGGTTCACAACAGTTGTGCAGTGTGGTATTACTAGTACATGACACTTGGTCATTTGGTAAATGTTAAGTATTTTATGGTTATGAAGTGAGCATGTAACCCAAGTCCCTGAAGATTTCATAAAATAAGGCCCAGAGCAATCGTCGCTGGAGCTTAAATGTTTTTCAGAGAGCCTGTTCAAGTTTTATTTCAGTTGTACATCTAATCTTTAGGAGTTTGGCTCATTTCTTTTTTTCCTAATACCTGACTGAGTATAGTAGTTTAGTGAAGGAAATATTTTGGAAATGCCAATGCAGCCTCTACAAATAGGAGCAAAAGATTTGGTTATTACACTAAAACTGTTTGAAAGGATCTAACAAAAGGGTGTAGCCGGACCAAAATTTCTCCCTTTAGTTAAAATGGTTTTTAACCTGAATTAAAAAACTATATCAAGGCCTGTGTTACTGTAAATTATGGGTTACATAATGCTAGCATGTGCCTGGGGTATCAAAGGCTAGTACTCTTTTCACACTGGTTTTGCTTAACCCCGTACTTTGCTTAGCCCCGTACTATCCTTAACCCCGGACTATTATGTTTGGCTTTTCACACACGCTGTTTTTAGTCCCGTACTAGCGCCTATTCCGGAATAAGAAAAGTCACGCTGTTCTCACTGCAATTCGTTACCCCCGGATATTGTGAATGTTATGATTGGACAGTGGGCCCCTTACTTCGCATCTGGCCAGCTGCGATACGCTCCATTGCGTAGTACCGGACTATTTTTCGTTTCTGTTCTCATTCATTTGCTTGGCACCGCAATTGCGGGGTTAGCAGGAGTTAGCACCACAATTGCGGAGTTAGCCCTGCTATTTTGCAGGGTTAGTTAACCCCGTACTATAGGTGGGGTTAGCCAACTTTAGCCCACTTTGGTAAAAGCTAGTCTGAACAGAAAGTGGAATAGGCTTAACCCCGTACTATAGGTGGGGCTAAGACCCCCCCCCCCCTTAACCCCACCTGTAGTACAGGGTTAAGCAAAATATTGCCAGTGTGAAAACAGTATAAGTGGGAGCAATGAGTTATTAGCTTGAAAATCAGGCATTGGTGGGAGGGGGATCATAGGCTTAAAAAAAAGATTAACTGTGTGATTTCTTTTAACAAACAAGTGCTTTGAAATTAAATTTTGATAAAAATTGAATTAATCACACATATGTAGCAAATATTTTTCTTCTACCCCCGCCCCCATCCCCCCTGTGACCTCAAATCTAAATGTATACATCATTTAAATTTACTTCTATTCCACAAACAATGTATGAAATGAAAAATTTGAGATCAAACACTACCAAGTCCAATAGATTCTATATGATCAGTGAGCCCATACTACTACTACATGTAACACTCTCCTTGCCCTTTCGCCATGTAATTTGAGTGTCGTTTTCTTTGTTTTGGGTTTTTACTATGGTTTCTAGGAAAGAAACTGAAACTAGCCCCTGGCTCCTAGCAGCATCCCTGGGAGTGTATTGAGTCCAATCAATCTATTGCCATGGCTTCACCAACCCCTTATACTGTACGACAGACAGACACGCACAAGGGGTTGACATTGGACGTGTGCCAGTAGTAATGAGAAGGAGAGTTCTCATCAGATATCATCTTGTCTGCCCCTCTCTCTCCCTCTCCCTCCCTCTCTCTCTCTCTCTCTCTCTTTCTCTCCCTCTTTCTCCCTCTCTTCCTCTCTCTCTCCCTCTCTCCCTCTCTTTCCCTCTTTCTCTTTCTCTCCCTCTTTCTCTCCCTCTCCGACTTCTTTACGGTAATGAGCCACTGTGAGATGGAGTTTCGAAACGAAATTATTGGAAAAAAGAAATTGTGCAGCGATTCCAGGGATTCGTTGTAAATTATGTGCAGTAGAGCTCTGGAAATTTCCAGTCATTATGTGATTATACAAACATGTAGTATGACTTGCCTAGGGCAGGAGGTGGTCGTTGATTTGAGTTTTTCTCACTATTATATGGTGTAATTCTTTTATTTAGGTCACGTAATCTTTATAGTTAATAAATGCAATTTAGAGCAAATTATGAAACTTAGTATTATTGCCAATGAAACCAAATCGTGGAAAAGTATTCAGATATAACAAACAAGGCCTATATTTGTATTTTTTTTTTATAAAGAAATACCATGAACAGATAAATATGGTAGGAGTTTTGGGCCAAGGGTGGTTGGGGTGCAAGTCCATAAGGCAAAATGAAAGGAATAAAAAGGATTTTCACATTTGCTGGTTTTAGAGTGCTCATCCCCCCCCCCCCTCCGATTTCCCCTGGTTACACAAATGAGTTCACATTATTTGTTGAATTCCTAGAACAAGCTGTATTTCTTCCTGCCAGTTTCACCTCTGTGAAGCCCAACTAGGATTTTTGTAAGGAAGATATAATTCATAATTCAAGGTGATCCATTTAAGTGACAAACATGTACAATGTAGTCCATTGTTAGCAAGAAGGAATTTTATAGATTTAGGAAAGGAGCAAAATATACTGCAACTTTCAACGTTTGTAGTCTTCAGTTCGGATTCCAGGGAAGGAATGATATTGTCTATATTTAAAGAGCAATCCAACCTGTGTAATAAGTTCATTTGTATGAAAGTAGAAAAATAAGATGACCAATAATAAGAAAGTTATAAGTGTTTGAAATATGAGATCACTAAGTTTATGCAAATTGGCAGTTGATCAGTGAATTTAGAAGTAGTTGCGAATAACTTTCCTGTTTGTTTTAAAATAATATGATTAATTTTTGTTTTTTCTCCAAAGTGCCTTCTCCTTTGAAGCACTATTCAAAATATATGAATATGGATAACATATTATAGGTTCTCTTAAGAGAATAGAGTCATACACTTTAGAAAAATTGAATTTTAGTCATATTTGGGGTTGGAACAAGTGAGAAAGTTGTCCGCCTCTACATCACAGAGACATTACTGACTCAGCCGATTTGAAGAGCCCATACCTCATAATTTCTCATTTTTTGTCCGATTTCATTCAAAGTTTCACTAGGCTACTACTTCTCTGATTGTTCTGCTTTCCTGTAAAGTAGCAAAAGCACAGTTCTGGGGTACAAAATTTGTATTTCTACATGTACACATACAGTGTATTCATGTACCCATGGAATATTAGTTCACCCCTATCAGCTATTTCTGACTTTGAATGGATACTGCAACATCATGCCTGTGCAGCAATTGGAAATGTTCCATTTAGGGATATATCCGGGTTGTAAAATGTATGGACTAGATACGTGTCCGGCTGGCTCAGTACATGCAAACACATGTTAAAACTATGTGATATTGAAAGGTCAGTCTGACTCTAGATTTCCATGTTCATGGAGTTAGTCATCATACGATGCCCAGTTTGAATTGCCCTGATATTCCAGGAAAGAGAGGGGATGACTCGTGATGTGTTCAGTCCAACTCTGATATCATTGCTATATTGAGGTCTGTCGTGGCGGCGGTGGTGGTGGTGGTGGTGGTATCGGATCTGTGTTAGAACTCTCTTGTGTGAGTGAGTGAGTGTGTGTGTGTGCTGGATGAATCACCGGCGAGATGAGTACTTCATTCCGCCCCCACACATCATGTCAGCTCCCATCACGGAGGTGCTACCGTGATGCAGGGGTCACTAGCCTACCGTCCATGGCTGGGCGGCCGGCCGGTCGGCTGGCAGGACAGGGAGAGGGGCCTCGTTGATATGCATGTTGAATCAAACAGTCCCTCAGCCGTGCCATACCCATACAGTGCAGGCGTCCTTGAATTTGGTAATGAAATTAGACCTGCGCTCCTCGATGGAGTGCTGGTATAATCATGGTATTGCCCTTGAGGTGTATTCGTCAGTTATGATAGATTGGTGTCTGATTTCTATAAAAAGATATTCCAAGGTGTAAACTCTGTGGTAAATGAAGAAAACAAAATGATCAGTAGTCAATTCACTGCCTAGCTGAAAATTTAGCCTTGAAAAAGACAATGTAAAGAACTCTTATCTGATTGTATGAGGATTGAGGAATGCAATGTACATAATTGAATTCTATTTTTTAGGGCTGCTTTAAAAAAAGAAAATATTTGATTCAGTCATTGTATCATACACCACACTTGTTGACCTTTTACATGTCTTTTTTTTTTTTTGGGGGGGGGTACCTTCTAGCCTTGTCTACTGTGTCACCAAGTTGGAGGCTGTATGTCTGTAAGGATGACCTACATACATGTTCTGAAACTGATATTTCCAATTTTTCTAATTTTTCTAATTTTTCCAATTAATTCAAAAATATTAATGGCCAAAACATATTGTACATTTACATTTCTAGCAAAAAACAAATACTTTTGTTGTTGACTTTTATTTTCATTTCTATATCTCTCTCCCTTTCTGCCAATAGATATTATTGGGCTAACCACATTATTGATATTAATTGCTGTGACATATGAAACAACCACTCCCCTTCAACACTTTCATCTTCAATGGAAAATCAAGACAGAAATACAAGAATTCTTTTGGCAGTCGCTGGCGACTGCAATTCCGTAATCTCTCCAAAACAGTCGGGTCCCTGGAAAAGAAACATGTTCCAAATTTTGTCCAGCTATTTTTCATTTTTCATATTTTTTGTTTTGAATTCAGGGACTGCTGTATTTAACCCTCGATACACAAAGCTGATACATTGATGCTATCTTTAGCTGCAGAATTTGTAAATGATTAACAAATCTGCAGCCTGCATACTGTATGGCACTCAAAGGTCCCTGCTAAAAATACTCCCAAATGACGTCTGCGCATGCAGTACTGATACGTCCATGAATTTTTAATTCTTCTCTCTTCTGTCTGGATTAATATCATTCCCTTTTCAGCCATGATTAAGAGTTAATTTTTGATATTAATTGAGTTTGATGTCTGAGTTTATAATCTGCTATCACGTGTAATATGCATGTATGAAATGCATGAATTAGCATTTTTGTTAACCAGGCACATGAATACCTGTATAAAGTTATGAAGTCCTTTTGGAGATGTATTATAAGAAACAAATTGACAGTGAGGAAAAGTGTCCTCTTAGATTTTTTTTAAAGGATGATTTAAAAGTGGAAGTTTGTTTTATATTTAATTTGAAGGATGTATTTCATGATGTTATAATGATAGAATGGTACAATTTGGTTTATTGGTATGAAATGAAATAGTACCTAACATGTATATCATCATATTTGTACCTTATACTTATTTTTGAAGCATTTCTTTGGAAATCATTCAAAATACATGTACATCACAGGGGAAACCTCAAGTAAAGGTTAAGAAATTTTCATAAATTTATCCTATTCGTAATGGAGAATATCTTAATTTCATCTTCTATTCATCTTCTATTATAGGAATAGTCTCAGTGGTTTTGGATTCATGATAACATCTTTCTTTTAAAAAAAATAATCAGATAAATACATTCATATGCATTTTTGAAGAAAAAAAAATGAAAACAAATAATGGGGGCTTTAAAGTTGCACTCCTATATCAGACTTAAGCAGCTAATGTACATATTTCTGATGCCCGTTGATCCCAGGTACCAGCTAATTAAGGAAATTGTTTCATGGAGTAAACAAAATTGACATGCCAACTTATTTTCTCTTGTTTTTCTGTACGTTCAGGAGGTGCTTGGCTATCGTGTAGATTCACAAGTTTCTTTATACCTGGTGGCGGTACTGGAGTACATAGCAGCAGATATTCTAAAGGTAAGTACATTTGCATTGTAGATTTTCAACAGGTTATGGAGATCATGTTGAAATTTACCAGGAATTCTTTTTGTTGGGGGGGGGGGGGGGGAATGGGAAGGCATATAATATGTAGGTACATGTATATGCTTTGTGCATTGAGCTTTGAGGAAATAGACGAAGGGCTCACTGAGCTCCAAAAGGAATGAAATAACTGTACATTTGGAACCTTTAAATATTATCGTACAAATTCAGAGAAACAGAATATGAATTCAGATCAATTAATAAACCGTGGAAAAAAAGGTTTTGAAAAAACATTGTGGTACCTAGAAATATACTTCCTCAATATCATTCATGGCCAAGTTGCCGACCAATCACTTAAATGCACTTGCAAAACATTGTACCTGGAAAAAGTTACTTGGCATCTTGCATGCAGTGGATGGAATTTGCAGGCCTGATTAAGCTAGAAAGTAAAGCGCTGCATGTAAATACCTTGTTATATGTCAAAGATGTTAAGAATAATTGCCCTTATAAAAAGTAGCTGAGTGCATTTCAAAGAACAGCGCATAATTTGCATCATGGCGAGACCTAGTCTCTGATACCGACAAATCACGCGATACTGAGAAGTGTGCTAGTGCAGAGTTAAGATTTCTCGGGGGATTCACATGTAAGGTTGTTATATTTCTCTTTCTATTTCTATCTTCAATATTTCAAAGAATGTTGCAAATTAGATGACTGGTCGATTGATCAACTGTCAAATTTATTGATATTAATTCGCATTGAAATTCTTTTTGGGTGTTTCTGCCTTTCTGAGAAAAAGAAAACTTGTGAAGGGCCGTTAATTGAAAAGGGTGGCAATTGTTGCGTATGGCCTATGCATATTGATGAATGAATACATTTCTTAGTTTGATTCCCTGACAAATATATATTTTTTAACAATCTCAAATTTTATTTTCCTAATCATTGATTTGCTTAACATCACTACTGTTTTTTTCCCTGTTTGGATAAAAATGGTTGGTCATATTGTTTGTAACACAGTTTGCGTAAGATAACCAAATTTAGTTTGAGCACTATATTTTCATCTCAGAAAGAAAAAACTAGAATGATACTGGTATTCATCCATTAACAGCTACTTTATCTAGAGATTGAAGAGTGAAAAAGTGTGTTATGAGAAGAAGACTTAAAAAGACTTTTTAATTAATCAACGATTTTTCACAAGTTTGGTCACATAAATGTTTAAGAAATGGCCCTAAAACAGCTTTGTTATTCCCAACAGTACAGCACCCTATGAAAGATAATTGTGATGTTCTTTTGTCATAATGTTGGTAAAATTAATAGTGTGAGATTGACACCCCTCTCATTTCTGTATGATATGATAAATCAATTTGAAATGGTTTAGGGCAGTTTGAACTTAATTATGAATGTGATTTGACATTGTTCAGTCTACTTTCTTCCTTCATATCATCTGCTGAAAACCAGAAGAGCATTCTTCTCAATTTTGGGGGTTTGAAAATTGATACAAAATCTTCCTTTTGAATGGAAAAATGACTTTAAAAAATATCCAAATCTATATTTTTATTACAAAAGGACTTGTTAGTTTTTTCACTTTAGCTAAAATGTGCTTCTTTTATGAACCATGCGATGCTCAACCTCACAGACATGTTAATGTCCTTCTGGTTTCCAACAAAATGTGATTTTAGAGTCAATGAACTTATTCACAGGTGAAACCTTTTCTTTGTTTTCTTGTTAACAGTTGGCAGGCAACTATGTGAAGAACATCTGTCATAGCAATATTAGCCTGCAGGACATCAAAGTTGCTATGTGTGCTGACAAGGTAATGTTCATTAAAGCAAACTATGTAACATCAACTTCAGCGCCTTGAATCAGTTTCACTATTAAATGTATTACCGGTATTCAGTTTTATGTGCCTTATACAGTTAACATGAGGAAAATGTTTGTAACAAAATAACAAATATACATCAGTTTGTGTTGAAGAGTATGTTTTCACTGAGACGGTTTGTTTTTATATCCCTGACAGCCAATTAGATAAAAACGAAATCACATTTTGGATTGAAGTATTCTCTGAGTAAAAGTATTAATTACCCCTGTTGTATAAAGGCTTGTTCAGATATGATGAGGAAAAAAATGCAGCGTTTTTTTAAAAGTGAAAAATGCTTCACACATCTGAATAGGTGAATATGTGCAAGTCCTTTGTTGAATGCAGTTTTTGTTTATTTTACACATTTAAACAAAAAAACTTTTTTGCAGTGGTTTACCACGCCATATCTGAACAAGACTTAAAGCCCCTCTACTCTTTGTATTATGACCATGTTCTTCTATCTTTGTCATGTAAAGCATTGTCTTGTCCATTTCTCGTCGCTGTTGGCATCCCCCTTTTTCTTTCCCCTATTTTGTAGTTACGGATTAGTTAATTTAATTACTCATTATTCCTAAGTATCATTTGAGGTGTTCACACTTGTACAAGCATTGCTTTTTAGTAGATCTCTCTGTTTCCAACATGTATTTCTTACATTTGTTTTAAATGCTTATCATTGATTTGTAATGTTTTGTTGGAAACATGAATAAATTGAAATTGAAATTGAATTGAAAGTGTTGGGAGCCTCAAATTCGTCAAACATTTGATGGCAAAATTTCACTCAAATTTTATCATAATGTGAAAGAGGATGTCATTTAAATGTAATACAAAGTTTTGTGAGGGATCATCAATTTGGTTCAAATGAACATATTGGAAGCATATGTGATCCTACAATACTCAGTGATTGTTGTCGCGGTCGAAATCGAGTCTAAAGTTATGATATTGTAAATAATAAACTCTTCATGCTGAATAGCTCCCTCTCAAGGTCAAGATATTAATTTAGTTGTAAAACAATGTTTCTTGACTAAAATCGACCGATTTGATATTTCCATTTTGAAATTATATATCACACCTACATATGCTGAGGTTTTCATGGTCGCAGCTACCATTGTACGGCCGTAGACGCTATTTGAAATTTATCAAAATTTACCGGGAGCACCGGTAAATTTTTATATTCAAATTTTCTCGAAAGCAGAAGTGTTTTAGGGGCTAATTTTTCTAGTGCTTATGATACATCTACAGGGGCATCCAAATATACCAAAATTATAAAGTATCACTATCCACCCAATTTTCGAAACTTACCAAAACTTTGTATTACCTTTAAGACACACTTCTGCAAAGATTTTCCCCAAAAAATGTGTTTGAATACAAATATTGATAAAAAAAATACATAACTTGGGTTTTGTGTTGTATGCAGAAAACCTAAATGTTGTGTTCTTTCATCAATATTCAACTCAAACACATTTTTAAAAAAAATCCTTGCATAAATGTGTCTTAAATGACATCCTCTTTCACTTTATGATACAATTTAGTGAAATTAAATGAAATTTTGCCATCCAATTTTTGAGGGCTCCCAACACTTTAGTGGGGCTTTTTAAGTAGTCATAACATACAAGTTGAAACTTGCCACTTCATAATATCATTAATTATAGATATTATATTTAGCATGAAATTATGTTTATTTTTGGTGGTTTGAGCATACATCCTGTTCCTTAATATGAGCTCTTCCTTAATTGGGTATTAAAAGCCAATGTGGTCGGGGATTCCATCTTGTATGTATAAAGTGCTGTTTCTTAGTATCACAGTTCTGAATGTACACACTTCGATTTAAAAAAAAAATCTGCATAGTCACGTTTTTATTGTTTTATTTCAGATCAGTACAAAATATGTGATGCTTATCACCAGACCTTGTTTTTATTGAATTTATGTAAAATCTTAATTAGAATTGTATTCAGTTTTGAGAAATCATCAAGTTTTGAGAAATTATCAAGATAAAGATATTGACATGTTAAAAAACATACATTGTGAGATGCTCTATTTTCTAGACATGGACATAGGTACTGATGTAAATGTTTTGCAAAGATGATGATGACGACGATGTGATGAGATCTCCGTTAGCTCGTAAATGAGCACAACAATGGATTAAAAAAAAAATTATCAGATGATGTAACTTTATTACCATGGCAACAGGCGCTGATGGAAATATTCCACCAGGATGATGAATATAATGCAATTCTGATTTCATCCCTGAGTTTTAGAGTACGAGCACAACAGTAGAATAGAGACATTGACCTTTAATTAAGAAATGTTTTTGTTAGAAGATGCTCTATCTGTATTACAATGGCAGGTGCTGTCGTACAATGTAGATCTGCTCTATCAGGATAATGATGATGGTGATGATGTTGTTGATGATGATGATGAAGATGGCCACTGCAATGTCGCCACTGCAATGTCGTCCCTAATCTTAGAAGATGAGCAGGTTAATATAACATGGACATTGACCCCTATGATGAGACATTCTTTTATTTGAGATGCTACCTATGTCTTTATTACCATGGCAACAGGTGCTGATGGAGATGTTCTGCCAGGATGATGACGATGCAACAGCGATGTCATCCCTGAGTCTGGAAGACGAGCAGGACAGTAGAACAGGGACGTTGACCTACGATGAGATAGTCAAGGATCTCATCATGGAGGAAACACAGTACGTCCGAGATCTCAACCTCATCATCAAAGTCTTCAGGAAGATCTTTGTCGATGCACCGCAACACTTTAATGAGGAGGTAATTCAACTTCAGACTGATATATTGTAGTTATCTTTTTCAATGTTCCTAGATTTATTATGTAGGGCATGTGTTTCATACATGTACAGTATGTCTTCTGTGAACTAATTAACTTGTACATTACCACTGCTATACATTTATAACCTTTGGGAAACTTATATAGATTGCTATTGTGAGTTGATTTAGTTGAACTGTGTGCAGTATGGTCAGATCTCTGTCTCCGCCTATAAAGGGAGAATTATTGAATTGACTCTGATGGACCCCAGTTTGATACTGAGTCTCGTCTCTCGGATTGTGATATAAATTGTCCCAAACGTAAATATTTGTATGTGATTGGTGCATGCCTGCAAAAACCTGACCACACACTCACTCTCGGAATAGGAAATGGTTAAGATATTAAATAAGAAGAGATTTGACAATCTTGGATCTTGATTGCAGGAAGTGGAATCCATCTTTGGCAACATCCTAGACATCTACCAGCTGACGGTATCCTTCTTGGGTCTCCTGGAGGATGCCATGGAGATGATGGATGATAGTAACTCCTTCCTTGGTATCGGAGAGTGCTTCGAGGAGATGGCAGAGGTAAGTACTTCTTCTTTGAAGCATTGAAGGAAGTACATGGATGCTGTGATTGTTTTAGTTCTGGAATTTGTTTAAAGAGTTTGAAACTTGTAAAATGAAGGGGAAAAAACGAAAAGAAAATCTTCCTTTTATGTAGTGAATTATTAAATTAAACATTTTTCAAAAAGTTGACATTGATTGCATATTATTATTTATATATTGCTTCAATTGTTACACCTTTTTTTTCACAATTTTACAGGCAGAAGAATTTGAGGTGTACAGTCCTTATGCTGCACAGATCCTGAGTGAAGACTGTAGGAATACAATACAGAGACTTGTAGCTAAGCCAGAAGTAGCCGAGTACCTACAGGTAAATCCTCTTCAATATCTGAACTCAAAACCTATCTTTTCCGGCAACATTGCGAATAATATGTGACATATTGAGGGAGCCAGGCGCCTTTGAATGCTTTTGCAGATAAATGGCGCTATACAAATGCTGTTCATCATCATCATCATCATCATCTTAGGAATGAGCAGCATGTAATAGTAGGCCATGTCCGTTTTGCTAGCAAATTTAATGCTTACGTGTTTGTGAAGTGACTCAATAAAAATGATTTCATTCGCCTATATTATTGTTTCTCAATGGTAAGAATGCAAATTGCACACATTAGTACTTGCTAGAAGTACAAACAGTATGGCTTGCCCTACCGAACAACACATAATATATACAATTTGCATTCTGACTATTTAAATTCCAAAACTCATAACAGGCGAATGAAATAATTTGTATCGAAGCAGTTCACAGAGACGTATGCATTAAATTTGATTACATTACAAAAAATGGTTTCTTGCCAAATGTGGTTTTGTAAGCAGAAATGACTTTATGTTATGCCAGAAATGACTCTTCATTATCTTAGGAATTCAACTTATTGCCAAATGTGTACTTTGGGAAACACATGTGATGATTTGTTTGTTAGCAGAAGGTGTTATTTCTGTTGTATGAAAGTGGTTTGCTCGTTTTATATTATTTGTGTGATGAAGCAATTATGAACCGTGTGACAGCAATAGCTATTGGTTTACTTCATTCAAAGAGATATCTTCAATTGTTTTTTTTTTTTTATAAAGAAATATTGTCTTTAATATGAAATGGAGTGATATCTGTGGCAAGGAAACATGCAATTCTTTCTTTCCCATAGAGAGACGGACACATTGATTGACTGTCACACACAAATACAGACAGACAGAATAATTTAGAAGAAGAAGAAGAAAGCGACTGGCGGAAGGGGAGGGAAAGAGAGACAGTCAAGAGAGACAGAGAGAGAGAGAGACAGAGACAGAGACGGAGAAAGAGAGAGAGAGAGACGGAGACAGGGTGGAAGAGAGAGGTGGCAGGTATAGAGAAAGAGGGGGGGGGGGGGGAGGGAAATAAAAATCTTTGTGTGTCTAGCTGCATTCAGAATGACTGTATAAACAGATGCTCAAATAATTTCCTGTATTTCAGTTATCCTTTCAATGAAATAAAAATGACTTGCCTTTTTCATTCCAGGAGCACAATATTCGTGATGCGGTATCCTATGTTCTACCCAAGCTTCTACTAGAACCAATCTACCACTGTATACACTACTTTGACTCGCTGAAGGTAAGCAAAAACATACCAATAAACCAAAACTAAATTAAAATAGAGGACACACCCTCTTATGTTAGCAAACCCTCTGTGAGTTTTCTACAGCAAAGGAAATGACTTTGTCAAGTTTTTTTTCCTTCTAATTAGCAAGACATTTATAGACCTTTGTGGTCTTGTGGTTTTCTATTTTAAGATAAAGGATGATGGTAGTAAATATCACTGGGTTAAAAACGGATTCTGTTTTGTTGTTGTTGAAGGGGAATGTACACATATTTCAATGTAGTGAATGAATCTCAAATTAAGAAATTATTGGAAATTTGATAATGATCCTCAAACGTTGTTTGTATTATTGAAAATAAAAATGCTAAGGGATATTGAACTACTGATACAGTGTATTTTGGAATGGTGTGGATAATAAGGAGTCAGATTATAGCACCATGACACCCTGAACAGTTACCCATCCTGGACAATTGAACAACCCCTGGACAACTCAACATGGGGATAGGTTGTTGAGCTTCTCATCCATACAACAATCATATATCTGATTAATTGCAATTAAAGGCATATTGAATGAATATCATTGTTTTTGTAGTCTGAACATCTCACTATGAAATTTGAATCAAGAATAGATTTTGCTAGGATAACTGAAAAAATAAAAAGACTTAAGAAGTGATTGCAGTGGTAAGGCATATTTTTTTTCTACTCTTTTGTCATTGCAGTTATTATTAAAGACCTCACCTAATGAGGAGGAACAAGAAAAATTCAAACAAGTGAGTTTGGTTATTCTTTTCTCCCCTAATATTACTTCTCTAATAAATCTATACAATCCTTGTCATATATTCTCTATCTGTGCTTTGGGCCACTTTTGTACTGTTTAATTTGCACCGATATCATGCAATCTTGATGTATGTGTGGATGGGTGTGGATGTTTGTTTCACTTTCATTCTTTCTGGGAGCACATGGTTTCTAACGATTGGGACATTATTCCTTTCATCACTGATGAATATATATACCTATATACATATTTATATAGTCAAGCAATAACTGTATTTTATGTGTAGCTGTGCACTATTTATTGCTTTTGTTGTCTTCTCATGATTACTTATGTTGATTATGATGAGTAAGTATTAAGCACCTCTTTTGATTGTATGTTGCAAGTTTAGAAACATTTGCACAATTTCTATGTGAACTTGTGCTGTTGCAACATTGTATGGTGATTTGAAAGCAACAGGCTTTATATAGAGCTAATGGACCTATTGCTATGGCAGTAATAACAACAGAAACCTGAAAATCCTATGATCAGGGGATGGGGTTGAATTAGGAAATTTAAGCACTTGGAAGGTATTATAATAGTCATCATTTTTAAAGACCATTTTTGTTGGTTTGCAAGGGCTGTTCTTGATCAGAAGCAGAGAAGAATGATTAGAAATGTCAAATATTTTGTAAAGCATTGTCCAGTTTGTTTAGCCTCTTCTCTCTCTCTCTCTCTCTCTCTCTCTCTCTCTCTCTCTCTCTCTTTCTCTCTTTCCTTGTAACTGTTTTTAATCAAACATTTTACATATTAATCCATTCACTTCATAAATTAATTCTGCACTAATCCAATATTGCACAAAAAGACGCAGTCACCAAGTACATATTTGTTAACCAATATCATTCACTCCTGTATTTGCATCCTTTGTGATACATTTTAATGGCATTTATAAATAAGTGGTCTTTGCTTTAAAAAGGTCTTTATACATTGGCAAATATGTGTGTTTGTTTGGGTAAATGGGGCTTGCTGTTGTGTTGTTTATATATCTATAGAAATACCACCAGAGTCTGTAAGAGCCCAAAATTGTCTGAGACTGGCCACATACAAAATTTCCAATTCATAATCTCATATCATTGTCTTAAATTGTTGTATTCATTCCATTTGCATGATTATAGAACTTCATAATATATAGAGGCATTGTTACATTGTTGAGTTCATTGAAAAATAAGTGGTTGTGGATATGGATATATTCTTAAGTCACTTAGGCTGTGAATCAAATTTTATCAATACTCTTCATCTGCGTTGCTTATTTGAAAGTTTGCTTCTTTTTTTTCGCTGAAAACTAGGCATCCAGTCTTCTGAAGATTTTGCAGGCAGAGTTAGACAGAATATGCGCCGGTCACTTACCTAAGAGGAAGACAGGGTGAGTATACCAAAGAATTAATCTTGTTTTTGATCTTCCATAGCTGACAGTCATCAAGACATTGTTATGGAGATTTAAGAAAAAAATACTTTCTTTTAGTCTTTATGCAGCATTTTCTTTTTTGAGTGTGCATTACATGCAAAGACTTTTGTGAAAAATATGCAGCTTCAAAGGGAAGGAAGAAATACCATAAGGATGAAAATATGTATAAATAATTGGAGGTGTTGACAGTAAAGAAGCAATAGACCTATGTATATTTCTTTTTAACGTGTATTTGTTGTTTAAGAGCAATATCGCACATGCAGTCTGCCAGTTTTAAGTTATTGGTACCTCTTTACCTGTTGGTGATGGGGGATGCAAAGATATTTAACCTATTACCTACAGTAACCAGTTAGACCCTGTATTAAGCCTATGGTAACTTAAAGAATTCAGTAGTCAGTGGGTTAAAGCTCATCTGGACTGGTTTACAGGAGGGATTAGACCGCCCTGCAAGGTCACTAGACAGGTGGTTATCTCATTGAATCAGCTCTCAGTTAACATAAGAAAAAGAGGATCATGGGGGACCAATGGTCACCAATTGGGCATTGTTTGCTATATAGAGGGAGCAAGTAGCTACAAGTAGTACAGTGGAGGTTTTAATGAGTTGCAATGCTAACACGGAGCTATCGATTCTCTCCTCCATTGACTCCTAGGAGAGAGTCTTCCCTGAGGTTCCATCGGAGGCTAGCGTCGAGACAGGTCTGCATCCAGCGCATGAATGAGATCCAGAAGAACATTGAAGGATGGGAGGGACGAGACATCAGTGAGATGTGTAGTGAGTTCATCATGGAAGGCAACGTTGGCAAGGTCCATACGGGCAAGAACAAAAGGGTAAGATCTGTATTATGACCGTGTTCTTCCATCTTTGTCATGTAAAGTACTGTCTTGTCCCGTTCTCGTCTCTTTTGGCTTCCCCCTTTTCCCCCTATTTTTTAGTTCCTTTTGTAGTTATAGACTTGTTAATTTAATTACTCATTATTCCTAAGTATCATTTAAGGTGTCCAAACTTGTACAAGCATTGATTTTTACTGGACCCCTCTGTTTCTAATATTTATTTCTACATTTGTTGTAAATGTTTATAATTGATTTGTAATGTTTTGCTGGGAAACATAAATAAATTCAAATTCAAATTCATATTGAAATTGTTATCTGTTAGGGAATAAATTATTTTTTTGATGGCTAAGTTCAGGTCATCTTGGTTTTGTTTCCTTTTGTGGAATGTGAATTTTGTGAACCAGTGTAACAGTGATTTGGAGTGATCAAGTGTACTAAATCTTACATTTTGAAGAACATCATTGTTAATTTACAACCCAGTCATCGTGGAACATGCTGTACTATGTGAGGAAAGACTATAGTTACATTAAACAAATTATTTCAACTGCACTAATTGAAACTTATTACATAGTAATTGATACATGACTTAGAGGTTATATCAATAATTCCTAATCCTGTTGATATTTTTGGTATTAGTGGTGTTGTTTAGCATGTAATTTAATTTTCTTACTTGTGCACACAACTGCAAAGGTCCATTAATAATACAGTCAAACCTGCTTTAGTGACCACCTGTCTACAAAGACCGCATTTTTCGTTTCCCTTCGAAATGGTTTCTCATTGAAAAATGTACTAAAGGAACCTGTTTACGAAGACAACTTTTTGTGTTTACCTTAGGCAGTCGATATAGACAGTCTAGGCTGTATCATCAACATTGACCAATAATTCAGATGTTTGCTTCTGATTTTAGGCCAACACAGAGAGACACATCTTCCTGTTTGACAGTATGATAGTGTGCTGTAAGCTGAACACAAGACGGTCGGTCTCAAGCTCGTCACCGGAGTACCGCTTCAAGGAGAGGTACTACCTCAGGAAGATCAAAGTCGTTGACAAGCACGATGGAGACGGTAGGTTTTTCAACCTGGCTGGATGTTTACCGCTCTCTTCCACCCTCTCTCTCTCTCTATGACTGTCTCTCTTTCTCTGTCTACCAGTCTCTCTCTCTCTTCTAATTTAGTCTGTCTCGTCTGTTTTTGTGTCTCTGTGTGTGACCTTTCTTATCTTCTTTCAAAAGACAATTATTCTTGGATGACATCTGTTGTATTCTCTCTTTTGTGGTAGCACAGTCTCCTAGGCTTATAGGGGTTACCTTGTGTGACAATTGTGTAGTCTGTTCAGCTTTCGAAAATATTAGGCAACACATAAAGCTACCTCAGGAAGTTGAAGTGCTTATTTTTCTTTCTTGACCCCCCCCCCCCCCCCCCCCCCGTTTCCCCCTCTCTCTCTTCTCTCTCTCTCTCTTCCCCTCTCTCTCTCTTTTCTCTCTCTCTTCCCCTCTCTCTCTTTTCTCTCTCTCTCTCTTCCTCTCTTCCTCTCTTCCTCTCTCTCTTACTCTCACTCTATCACTCCCCCTCTTTCTCTCTCTTTCTCCTTTTCTGTTTTAGACCCATCTCTGTTTTATCTATCTCTTCATCCCTTTCCCTTTCTCTTTCACTTTTATCAACATGTATTCCCTTACACTTTCTCACCATCTTCATGTTGTTCTGTTTTTCACACAGATGTGAAGTTTGCCTTTGAGATAGAGGTCAAAGACTCACCACAAACCATAGTTTTCTTTGCCAAGAGTGCGGAGGAGAAAACAAGTTGGATGGAGGCCCTTATAACCCTCCTACACAGAAGGTAAGGTTTAAAGAAAAGGTTGAGTTCTGGGAAGAGGTAACAAATAATTTGTTAGCGTAATCATTGTATTATGCAAGTGTGGAAGACTATCATATAAAAAATGTTCCCTGAAATGCATGGCTCTTCAAATGCCTTAACATTCTAAATATGGCATGTAACATCATAAAAATCGGGACAGATTTTTATGCCACATGTTCATGTAGTCCCATATACATCTTTATGAGTACAGTGCTTGTAACTTTACCAAGACTGGGCCAAATTTCTTGTCAGTTTGATGATTCCAAAACCTTGCAGTACACACCAATATTATATGCTAGATGATCAACCTTTTCTGATCAACTCCAAGTTTCTTTCACAATAAAATTGCATGACCAGAACTCAACTGTATCTTTAAAGTCTTAGCCATTGCTGCCAAGTCACATGCCAAGAAAGCAATTGCTGAACGCTTCCAAAATATTATGCATGTTTGTGCCAAAAATAGTATCTTGCCATCAAATGTATTGTTTGATAAGAAAAGTATGTTTACTAGAAAATCCACCGTCAAAGTGAAACATGATTTGTAAACCCTTGAATTAAATTAGTCTGATATCATGGAGTCTAGCTGATAAGTTTGGGCCTTACTGGAAAAGCGCGGTATGAGTAATAATAATTATGATAACGATAGGCACAGTGTAGCATGGTTACATAAATGTTAATAATTAGTTTAGCCATGTTTTTAATGATGTGAAGAATAAGCAAATAGTTGAAAATGTAAGGTATACATATAAGATATAGTATTGTGAAAAAAAACCTTTGTTTTCCTGTATTTTTTGTAACTCTTGTCAGATATTTAACACTGTGGATTTAAAGTAAACGGCTAAGTTGATGTATGATCTAAACTATGTGTCCAAAAGATGAACAGATTTTTACCTTTTTGTTTCATCAACGTTGTAGCATTTTGTATTACCATTGATGAAGATTATGATGATTTTATGATTTTTTTTGTGTGTGTTTTCTTTCAGCACCCTAGAGAGAATGTTGGACACTATCTTACAACAGGAAGAAGATAGTCAACCCCTAAGGCTTCCATCTCCGGAGGAGTACTGGTAAGACTTTAATTGCTTCATGCTATGTAGGGGTTATTGTATTAATCAAGTCTTTGATAGTTTTCTGTTATGCATTATGTGTGTAAAATATATCTTGTGATAATACTCTTGATCATGGTCCTATGTGTATGATGGATAGAGGTTACTATTAATTGTGACTGATGTAAAAATAAACCTTGAACACTGATAAGTTTATTTGTCAGGATAGTGAAATTCAAATATTTAAATTTTTTATTGAATCAGAATCAATGATTTATTTTAGATGAATCAAGTTTTTCCATTACATCTAGAATTAAATCACAAATTAGAATTAAAGAACTGTACCTCTAGTTTTTGTATCTATTTTTTGTTTTTGTTAATCATGCCTTTGAATGAAAATTTGACCAGGAAAAGGGACTGGAATATACAAATGTGTTTGTCCCATTCTCCATTTTATTGCTGAAGCTAGATATTTTATGAGGTTGTTTGTGGATAGCTGTGTATACCATTGATTCTCTTCTTCTTCTTTCAGCTTTGTAGAGGAAGACTCGCCAGACAACATTGTCTTTGAGGAAGGTCACAAGTCAATGGCGGGAGTTCCCCTCATCAAGGGAGGAACCCTCTTCAAGCTGATTGAAAGACTGACCTATCACAGGTACGCTGATCCGTCCTTCGTCCGAACCTTCCTCACCACCTACAGGTCATTCTGCAGTCCACAGGATCTACTCTCGTTACTCTTCAAGAGATATCCTTTCCATTGTCTATTAAAGGCATCGTTTAACAATGGCCCTACGTGTTATCAGTGTCTGTGATGTGGTGTAATATTGAAGTCCTAAAAAAATTGCACTTCAAAATGACCATGAAGTGCCTGAAAAAAGTAAAAATCTTTGAGTGACAGGTTTTACCATATTCATTTTCCCCAATAGACTGTAGTGTTAAACAAAGCGTTAGGAAAACGAAAAATGAAATTTTGATTTCCAATCATAGTATCTTGATAATCTGACAGACAGTCGGCTTGTAAAAGTCATGGGATTCCTGACTGACCTAAAGGTTTATAATTATGATTGCAGCATGAGCTGAATCCAGGATTTTGTTTCAGAATATGAGGCAATGTTACTGAGTCACTTTAAACCAGAGTAGAGAGTTGTTGACCCATTGCCTATGGGGACCAGCTGATCTTTGTATTAAGCCTATGGCAATAAGAGAATGCAGTGCTCAATGGGTTAAGATTATTAACAATTAAGGCTTGTTCAGATATTGAAACTGCATTCAACTAAAGACATGCGCGGTTCGCTGAGCAATCTGTTTAAAAGCCTATCTGCCTTATTTTGGCCAAGAGGGATTGGACCTCCCTGCATGGTCACTGACGGGTGGTTATCTTTTCAAATGAGCTCTCAATTAACATAAGAAAAAGGGGATCATGGGGGGACCAACGGTCACCGATTAGACATTGTTTGCTATATAGAGGGCGCAAGTAGCTATAAGGAATGCAGTGGGGCTTTAAGCACAGTAGATTATATCTTTATAATAGCTGTCCTAAATGCAATTATCATTATTATTATCACTATTATTATTAATGTTGAAGTTTTCCTTGACCACCATGATGTTCACGTTTGAGATCCCAGACCCTCCTCCTACAGAGGAAGATCAAGCTTCCATTGATAGAGGGATTAGTGTGGTCAGAGAAGACCTCAAGAGATTCAGGAAAGAGTACGCACAACCTATACAACTCAGGTGAGTTTAACCCTTTCAGTCCTGTGGATGGTTTATACCTTCCCCATCTGGAGTTCAAATGGGTCAATGAATTGTGAAGATGGCATCTAACAATTTTGTGTGAAATCGTGATGAAAGTTTTGTCCTACAAAATCTTTTTTTGTGATAGATGTGTAAAGCTTGTAAACCATAAATTTGACACTTGAATGTAAAGGTTTTTTTTGTTTTGTTAATAAATAATTACACAAACCCAAAACAGAACATGGATGTACCATGTATGTAATAATTGAAAGCACCTATTTATGATTGTGAAATGGACACTTTTGTAAATATTTTAAATGCTACTAAACGATAGTTGTAGATTTTCATGTTTGATTATCAAAATGATTTGAATTAATATTTAGCCATTAAGAGGATAAAATGCCTATTCACTTTTGCAATTCTGTCATATATTTTTCACTATCCCAAATATAAAACAAGCTTTAGTATATCATGAACAGAGTATCTTATCTGATTATTTATTTTCTTTTTGTTGGGTAGAGTACTGAATGTATTCAGACACTGGGTTGACCAACACTTCTATGACTTTGAGCGAGATTCAGAGTTACTTGGAAGCCTAGAGAAGTTCATTGATGAATCAGTGCGAGGGAAAGGCATGAGGAAATGGGTCGAATCTATCAAGAAAATCATCATGAGGAGAGTAAATGTAAGTTTCTTTCTAGGTTTGTGAAATGTTTCTCTGCACTTTATGTATTCCAGAATCTGCTCTACCTGCATTAATAAGCTATGTTATCCAGGTTAGCAGACATTACACTGTTATGTTACTACCACTGGAGCCTTTTATCTTTTGCACTTGGGTGCAAGAATTGGACTGGCAACGTTCTCATACTCCTTATTTTCTCATAAATTGACATATTATAGGAAAAGGAATCCATCCACTGAGGGGATAGTTGTGTTCACATTGCCTTATTTACAGCCCCTGAAGATCTATGGAAACAAATCGATATTATATATGATTCTTGATTAGTTTGGAATTAAACTAATGGTTGCAGCAGGTGAATTGAATTGACTCTCATTGGAAAACTAACGTATGGATTTAAAGAATTTAGTCAAAAGGCAGTTGATTTATTGAGCAATTAATCCTGAATCAATGTGTTATATGCATTCATTCACAAAGCAATCGGCACATCATGTATTTTCCTAAAAGCATAATCAAATAAAATAATATTTCTGCCTCTATTTTAGTGGGATGTGGAAGAACAGAGGCACATACTTACATTTGAGAAAGATCCTCCGCCCATAGAGCATCATATATCCAAGTCACCTCTAGACTTCGATATCATGACCGTAAGTATCCCATTCTCTATCAATTTCCCTAAAATATTTGACTTATTATGTACACAGATTTGACAAAAAGAGATTTATTGGAAATAGAGATTTATAAAACTGCACCATAACAATGTATTGTGCAAGCACAAGATCAGTTCATTGATAGTTAACCATCATTAATAAGCTTACCTTTACTCATCTGTGTGTGCATTTGTATTTCTTTATGCTTACAAGTGAACAAATTTGTATTTTTTCGACCAATTGCTCCCAAGGCCTGTATTTTTCCAACAATGTTTAAATGAAGACTGATCAACGAAAATAGATGTATTCTAAAAATAAGCATTCTATGTCTGTCATTTTCATTAATTAATTTTACAAAGAAAAATCATATATATATATATATATATATATATATATATATATATATATATACGTGTGTGTGTGTAGTGTGCAGTTAAGAGGAGGAGGAATATGAAAGAATTTGTTTGTCCTGGTTTGCAGCTCCACCCGATAGAGATTGCAAGGCAGCTGACCTTACTGGAGTCTGACCTTTACCGAGCGGTCACTCCATCCGAGCTGGTAGGCAGTGTGTGGACTAAGAAAGACAAACATCTCACATCACCTAACTTACTCAAGATGATCCATCATTCAAATATGGTCAGTTTTACAGTGTCTGTGTATGTTTTTATAGAGATTGTAACTGTTATCATTTTCAGGAATTAAGCTTAACCCACTATCTACTGGAACTGGTGGGTTCTCTACTAAGCATATGGGAATAGTATAATTCAGTAGACAATGGGTTTATTTTATTCTCTTGTTCCCTAATGCAGATGTGTATCTACTAGTCTCATTTTTGTTTTGTTATGCTATTCATGTAGGGCATTTGAAGATTACGTTTAGACTATTAAGGGGAAGGGGGTTGGTAGTACTGTCCAATGCAATATCGTACTTTAACCAGTTCAAGCATGGTGTTGGGGGGGGGGGGGTGTCAGTTGTGGATATAATAGGTCAGATTGGTTAAAATTGTTTGTGAACATGGTATTTTCAGTCCATACTTTTGGGGTGTATGAGTTGATACGGGGGAAGATAGTCATTCAGAGAAAATGTGTGCAAATAGCATTAACCACTAAAATTCTGGTTAATTTAGTTGAGGACTTTTTTTAAATTTAATTGTTTTATTTTTCTTGTTCAGTTCATCTTATGGTTAGAGAAGTGCATTGTTGAGACGACCAATCTTGAGGAGAGGATATCTGTGGTATCCAGAGTTATAGAGATCATGATGGTAAGGAATCTCCTCCTACTTGGCATCCTTTCTAATTCATTTCGGCTAATAATGATCAGTGAAAGCATAAAAATTCTGTAATGTTGAGAACCATCTAAGAGGACATTTACAGTGGGAATTTATGAAGGATAGGGACAACCTTTGGCAGCCGCTGCAAAGGGATGCTAAGGAAAATATCTTCAAACTATGAACTAGATCTCTAATTCTCATCAAATATGACAGCAAAAGGAGAGATTTTACTCCTGAAATCATTTATACACCATCATGTGAATTCATTAAGTAGCACTCCTAACGCATTTTAGTTAGAGAGAGGGCCAAATTGGCTATGAGATCATACCTGTCAGAATAGTATACCCAACTGTCTGTTATTTGAAGCCAATAAAGTGATGTCCCCCTCAAATTCAATGTTCAGAGTATGACGAATCGAAACTCTCAGTCAGGATGATTTGATATAGATTATTGTCCTATATTGTTAAACCCTAAAATGTCATTTCTGTCACCTTCCTGTAATATGGTATAGTGGTACAAGGGTTTTACATGGATGTTCTTGTTTTCTTCACCAGGTGTTCCAAGAGTACAACAACTTCAATGGCGTTCTGGAAATCGTCAGTGCATTCAACTCATCTGCCATCCATAGACTGGAGCATACCTTTCGGGTAAGAATAGATAACAAGCCTTATGGACAGCGGTTTGAAATTAATGATAGTATCCTCGGGAAAAAAGCTTTAAGATTTTCAAATGGTACAGCAGCCAACTTTTCCCATAGTTCATTGACTCGTCAGTTCATTTTTGCAGATGGATTGTTGCTATGAGAAATTACTTGTTCATGGTTTGTCGAGACGTTTTGATGAAATAAGCTGGGGTTAAATGCAACTCACTTCTTGATGATGATATTGTTGATGGTGGTGATGGTGATGATGATTGTTGTAGTGTTGTTGATGGTGGTGATGGTGGTAGTAGTGGTGGTGGTGATGATGATTGTGGTAATGGTGATGGTGATGGTTATGGTGGTGGTGATGATGATTGAGGTAATGGTGGTTATGGTGGTAATTGTGGTGGTGATGATTATGATGGTGAATGGTGGTGGTAATGGTGGTGGTGATGATGACTGGTGGTGACGATTGTAGTAGTGGTGGTGGTGATGATTGTTGTGGTGGTGGTGGTGGTGGTGATGGTGGTGGTGGTAGTATCTTATGTAAATATCAATTGCTTGTTACCCTAACTCTGTTTATTGTGTTCTCATCAGGATTTGAGGAAGAAGCAGGTTTTAGAAGAGGCCAAGGAACTAGGCACAGATCACTACAAGAAATACCAAGAGAAGTTACGCTCCATCAATCCACCTTGTGTGCCTTTCTTGGGTGAGTACATCATCTTAATTATAAACTTTTCTTTGTTTAAAAAATATAAGAGCTTTATGAAAAATCAACTCTTGTTTCTACCATTTTCCATCTTACTGCACTTATAGTCGTTCACCTGTTTGTGTGCTGGCACTACAGTGGAAATTGACTAATTTTGTGGTATGCCATGATGAAGTTTAGGGAATATTTACTAAATCTCCAAAACACTACTAAGGAAGGTTTTCCGTAAGTGGCTACAAATCAGGATGGCAGAATCCCCTTTCTTGGCCGAGTGACCACCAAAATAAGCAGATGTAATTTTAAAACTTCCTTAGACTTTAGACGCCTGCATTGGTCATGCATCATCATTTTATGACTCACCAAGATTTTACCAAGAGGGTTATTTAAGCAAAATATGAATATTTCAAAGAACTCCAAATTGGATATGTTCTCTATCTTTTCCTTTTCATCTAGGAATGTACCTAAGCAACATCCTGTTCATAGAGCAGGGTAACCCAGACTTCCTCTCTAACTGTCCGGAGGGATTGATCAACTTCAGTAAGAGGCGGAGAGTAGCTGAGATCACTGGAGAGATCCAGCAGTACCAGCATCAACCTTACTGTCTCAACCCTGAACCTGAGATCAGGGTAAGCTAGCTTCCAATCAGTCATCCAATAATTAACTTTTTGGTTGCTTTCCTCGCCTCGCTGCGGGCTCCACTTGATTGAAAGAATTGCTGTGAATTTTTGATAAGAACTGCATATACATCATTTTTGTGAAGAAAAAAAATGAAATTTTCGTTTGGGTCTATACATGGATACTTGACGTTCTTATATCAAATGGAGATATTTGTGATCCAAAATAATTGCACTATGACGATTTTTGTGAAAAGTGAAAAAAAAACTTTAATCGTTGACAAAAAAATGCAAGGGGATAATTGCCCACCCCCCCCCCCCCCGAAAAAAAAAGGCATTATAGCAGATTTCTTTTAAAGCAAACAAAGAACACTAATTTTTGACAGAAGCAGCAGTTTCTATTTTGGTCTGTTTGTTCATATTAAACCAAACACAACTAAATAGTCATAGCATCTTTCGTCATGGCAAAGAGCCTGTCCTGACAGTGTTATTCTATCATCCTTATGATATATGATCCCTTCAAGTTACTAAAACATACATTTGTAGCTGTTACATTTGAGGTTTGGTCCTGGCATGCACCTCTTCCCCCCCCCCCCCCCCCCTCCTTTCTTAGTCGGGTCAGTGTACAGTACAAAATACATATAAAATTGACTAGTATGTTATCGGGAAAGGGGTTGTCAGACTCCTTCTCCTCCTTCTCTTACAAAGAATTGTTTTCCTTGTCTTTGTTGTTGAAATTTTGACTACCAGTACGTAGCAGGCTCCTCTATAATGCCTTGTCAAACATGAAAATAGTTAATAGGTGGTACTGATAACCCATTGGTTGAAACCATACAGGTTCTTGTGTTTGGCTGCTCATATGTGTTGTTGAATAATACTTTCCTTTATTACAATGGGATTAAAATAACCACTGTTTTTTGGTTGTTCGTTTAACAGAAATTCTTTGAGGACTTAAACCCTCTTGGTGACATGACAGAGAAGGAATTCCAGGACTATCTCTACGAGACATCACTGGATATTGAACCCAGAAACTGCAAGCAGCTGCCAAAATTTGTAAGTATTCACAGTGATCATTATCTCTTTCCCAAACAAGACAATTCATCAAAAAATATGTGACATAGCATGGTCAATGCATGCGACAAAGCATGCTGCATGCATGTGGCAAAAGCATGCTACATGCATGTATTGTGCATGAATTGTGCATGTACATGCAGAGCTGCCAACATCCAGAACAGAAAATCAGTAATCACAAGGCTCAAAATCAGTAATTTTGGGTATAAATCAGTAATTTCCTATGCGGCGCTATGACTCTAATAAAAACGGCACGCCAACATTGCACAGAAACATGATTATCTGAAATTTTTGGTGATTTTACTCACACAAAGTTGTTAAATAATGAGTTTCATATCATCACAACACAGTCTTCCAGGAAAAATGGGGGGGGGGATATTAAAAAAAAAAAAAAAAAAAAAAAAAAAAAAAAAGTTTTTTTTTTTTTTTTTTTAATCCGTAATTTTAAACAACATTCCGTAATGGTCGTTAATTTCCGTACCAATTACGGGAAATCCGTACTAGTTGGCAGCTCTGTACATGCATGTATATTCCCAAATTCTAGCCTTACATGCATATAGCACACTTTATTATAGCTAGTTATGCATGCATGCAAAAATCCTATTTTATGGCATTGGAACAATGTCCATGCTTAGTTTGCTGCTTATATTTAAAAGAAAGAGAGAGACATCTGCATATAAAGCACCTATGAGTAGGTTTTTTTTCTTTGCAATTAGAATTTGTCATTACAAGTAATACATAGTTTCATAAAACAGCAGCATATTGATGATAAACGATATCTTGTTAATAAAAGGATGCTTTTATATTGTTTTTAATGTAAATAAGTGTACATTATCTTTAATAGTCATTGGTGAGTACAGCCTTTTATGCCCTGTATTGTGTATGCAATCGGAGGCCTAGACTATTGATATGTATGAGGCATTCAAAAACCTATTGTATGCTACCTGCCTTTGGCCCATCGAAATACAACAACTTGTAACAGGTGCAATCAATAGTTTATCACTGTGCACAAGTTCATATGTTTTGCATAACAATCATAATGCTTGCCTGACATTACAACAAGAAGTATCTAGAAAAGACCCATACAAAGTTGAATGCAGTACACCTGTAATTCATCAGTGAGGAAAGAAGCATGCATAAATTAACATACAAAATATTTGTCCCTAAGCATGGGTGTATATCTAAAGACCTTTAGGTAGCAACAATGGCTTAGAGGTTAATAGGACATGTGAGGATGCTAATTCATAGTAATTAATTATGCCATTAGATGTTTATTCATGCTTTATGCACAACTTCTTGCTTGCCCAGTTCCAAACCAATCTTGATTTGGAGGAATGATTCCTATTTTGGGCCTTAAAACTCATGTAATGAACCCAGGTTTCATGTCTTTCTCATAAAACCTCTGTGAAGGTGCATATTAAAGTATTTCATTCCTATTTCTCTCCAGAGATTCTTAATTTTAGTTGTTTAAGATTAAGAGGTATGGGTTTTGGTTTGAAGTATTAACCATAAAAAAAGTGTCCATCTTTTCTGGTAGGGTATATAAGCAGCTTGTGCTACATAGTATTGTAGATGCAGTGAGCAAACGAGGCCAGTAGACACAGTCACATCATCAACAAAGCAAAATTTGCATGACAATAGTAGTACATACAGAAAAAACATACAACCGTATACCTCAATTACTGGCCTTGTTTATTAGTATTTATGTCAGCTTTTCTGCTGGCTTTACTACTGATAGTGCTATGTGGGCTGCTTTTCGACTCGGTAGCAATTTTAATATTGGTGAGTTTCAGTGGAACCTTGACAATACGAAATGAAATAAGGTACATTGAGTGATATCAGTGATATTAAAAAGTGTTAGTAGCATTGATATGTAGCATGGTTATGCTGTGGTCTTCATCATGCATTTGGCTAAGAAAATGCTTTACTGTACCGGGTATATGTTACTGTACTATACAGGGCATGACTTAGCTGGTTAGCTGGTTCATCATATGATATCCCACTGCAGACTAGACTGTAAACCTACCAAATACCAGAATACAGACTACCACGTTGCCGCCAATCAGAAGAGTCTAGTTAGCTAAACCTATGGTAACCTTTATTAATGACGTAAAACATATTAGCCAAGCTACCCCAGTGTATTCTGCAGTTGTTTCCAGATCTGCATATTAATGTATGGTTTTGACATTAACAAAATGACCATTATGGTTGAATCGACTTAAGTCATTGCAATCAACTTATAGTCTGATTAAAATATGCAGATCTGTGCTGCACAAAGATGCAATCAGTTTATTTTTGGCCATTTACAAGTAATGATGTAGACAAATACTCATTTTATGTACATTACCAAGAGAAAAAGATGTCCCTAGCTGGTTTTGACAAGCACATATTTTGGATTGTAATGAGTTTTCTTTCCTTTTCTCTTGATACAGCCCAAAAAATTTGAGTACTCTTTGAAGTCCCCTGGCATCAAACCCTCCAGCAATAGACACATGTCATTGGTTGGAACATCAAGACTCACCAATGAGCTCAGGTCACCAGGGTTCACGGTAGGTCATATTTCTTTGGATGTTAAAGATGAGTAAACAAACGTATTTGAACTTTGAACATTTTTGGGGGGAGGGGGAGAGTTTTGTTGGGAGGTAATATTCTGAAAAGCAATTTCATTAACAATAATAATAATTGTTTTGCATTAATGTAAACAGTTTCTTCTGCTCATCATATACATGTCCAGGTATCTACTTTCGTTTGCCTCTTTTCTTCACTCTTATATCATCCTTAAAATAATCTCAATTAAACTTAGAATTCAGATAATTTAAATTAGGGTGTCTGTAGGATAATTTTCTGAGGGGAAATTTGTCTGTGGGTTATGAGGGGTGGTTCTCTAAGAGGATTATAATCTAGAGCATTAGTAGCGGATAGTTGTCCTAGAAGCCTATGTATATACAGTATATACTTTGTTGAGACATTGGAAGTAAGGTGTATACTTAGTACTGTCCAATCTGGTATATTCTTTATACAGAGGATGCAGGATGATGAGGCCACCTCCCCCAAAGCAGGTGCCACACCCCCTTCTCCAAGAACACCAACCATTCTATCAACACCATCGTCGATCTTTAGCCAAAATAGTGTCTTCAGTGTCGTGGATATTCCAAGTAAGCACCAAAGAATTCAGACAGTATTTGCTTTTTTTGATGATGGGCTAATATTAAGTTTCATTATTTTTGTAGGTTTTCTGTTTTAATTCACATAGTGAAAATGACCCATTATTAATGATAACAATTGGGGAAAACTGATCTGATCAATTCTCCCAACTAAATTAATTACAATTTGATTACATTTTAGGTGAATGTAAATCGTCACAAAGCAATGAATTGGCTCTATATACCATTCCGGACATTTAAGTGCTGAAAGATTTTTAAAAGCCTGTCTTATGTCTTATTTTCATGGAAAAATTCAAAGATGGTTGGGAGAATGTACTGTTTGAGAGTGTTGCGACGCCTTCAAAGAAAACCATAAATATCTTTGTGGTTCAAGGATTTTTTTTGCATTTAGAGGGCTAGTACAGTAGAAGGAATATAATAAGTAGCATTTCATACAAAATTTTGCATTTTTTCAGCAACAACAATGTTACCGAGTTACTTTAAGAAAGGATCAGGTACTTCACTTTTTAAAAATCCTTGGATTATGAAAATAATCGAGGCGCTTGTATGCGTTTTGTCCTGATGATCGTGTCTGATGATAATCCGACCTTGTGGCATCAATAACCCCCAAGATTATCCTAGAGCTGCTCCATTCAAAGAGGGTTTTGTTTTCTTGTGAATTACTTTCCATATTGCAGACAACTCCAACTCGTCATCCACAGCAGCAGAGGAACCACCAGAGGTACCTCCTCCTCTACCACCCCGAAGCCGTCTGAGCTCCACCCCTAATCCCTGCAGCAGTCAGGATCGCCTCCACGACATACCACCGCTCCCTCCAAGATTCAACCACGCCCCTCCATTACCACCCAGACACAACTCTCAGAACTCATCACAGACAATGAATGGCGGTACACCCACGATACCCCCAAGGACTTACCGTAGCCCCCACTCGCTTCAACGCAAAGCCTCCAATCCGCTGCCGAACAAGTCTTCCACCACCACGACGTCGTCGAGGCTGCCCCCGCTCCCACCACCCATAACGCACTTACCCGATTCAGATATCTGGTTGCCAAGGACTCCTCAAGCACAGAAAAGTCATGCCTTCTTACTATCACAAAACTCTCCAGCATCCTCTTTTCCAATGAACAACACAGACCACATTGGTTTCAAGCCCTTGATGCCCCCGCCAAGACCGCGTGGTCCACGACTGGCTGAACGGCTGGCTGAACCAGACAGACCACCTAGGACTCCTTCAAAGGAAAATCAGTTAACGCCAGAAGATCTGAAATTCTTTGAAAGCTCTTATTAAAGCAAGCATGGAGTGTCTTTTTTACAAGCAACTCAACAGACTTCTCATGGAAACGATTTGGCACATGTGGTGAAAAATATGATTGACATGTAACTAAGGGCAAGAACAGTACTTGGACTTCAGCATCGCCAGTGTCTCTGTCAGAGACAGAGCCACACGTAACAAAGCTGGCTGGAGAGAAGAAATGCTCTTGTAAAATCTGCTTATTGTAATTGATTATCACCTCTTGTCCAATAACTATGCATTTAATGTGTGAATCATGTACCAAAAAATGTTGTCTCATGTCAAAATAATCAAAGATACTACCCTTAATAAGGCTGGGCAGAGTTTTGTTCAGCAATGCAAACTGTTGGGTTTTGAGAAAGATTTGGAAAAATGGACACAATTATTATAACACAAGTAAGTTGTTGATTCTCATAGAGCATCCAATAAATGAATGCACATTAATTATACAGCATGAATTTCTTAACATAGCAAGAGCTTCAGGTAAAAAGGGTGGAGAGTGGCATAAGCTGATTACCGGTAGTCTCTCTCTCAGCAAACTACACAACCAGGGCAGTGAAATCTTCATGTCAGATATATATGCTTTTCCTAAAGGAGTTTTACCATATGTTAATGAGACAAGAGCCTATATATAAGTGCAATAAGTCTAACAGATACCTAAACATCCATCAAAGGTAGTCCCACTGACAGAAGGAAAATCAATGGTAAAAGTTTTAATTTGCCCATCAAATCTGTGGGAATTTTGATTTGCTCATTGTGGTGTATTCAGGGAGAAGTCTTTAAAATGTTCATGTTTTATTGGGGGGAATCTGACAAATCAATTCTAGAACATCTCAAGATTGATTACCGCCAAACTTGGGTCATGTATTTATCTTGCAGAACTAATTAGATTATGTATGCAAAAAAAATAGCTTGTGAACGCATTGTCAATACTGAAGGATGGATTACTATCAAACTCGGGATATGTATCTTGCAGAGCCAATGAACTGAGGTCAGAGGGCCACTCTAACAGCCTTTTAAAACATGAATACACCTCTATTTATTAATAAACGTATTACTGGTATTATCAAGTGCATATTATTTTTTGGGTAAATGCCTGAAACAAAGCGTTTTTAAAGCTAGATTCCAGAATCATTGTATTCTGGTCTCCACCAGGATATCCCCCTAGACAGAAGAAGCTTAATAATCTTATCCTACTTTCCATGGTTTGAGGGGGGGGGGGGGGGGGCTGCAGAATGTATATCAAAAGGATACACCTCTCTGATCTAAGAGAATTGAAACTTACAATTTACCGTACTACAAGCAACTAGTTTGACTGTACTGCATTTTTTTTTTCTCAAGTAGAGTTCTTTGATGAAAGAAGATGGTGATTCCAAAATCAACTTTTGAGATGAAATCATGTTTGTGTAATGCAAGGCTGGCTGGTAATGTTTTATTATGAATATTGGTTTGAGTACCAGGCGCTATAACTATGAAGATTTATTTTGTACCAAATATGAAGTGTCCTCCAATTCTATGGGAGTTTAACACCCATTATAAAGGAACTTTTAATAAAAAATAATTGTTGTATAGAAACTTTGTTTTGTGTGTCTTATTTATAGTGATTTAATATAACAAAATGGATGTAAAAAGGCAAGTTCATTACAGACTCATTTTAACAATCAAAATGACATAGCTCCAACGCCACTTCCACATTATGTTGTATAGACAAATATCCACTCAAAACCATTAATATTTTCAACAGTGTAGAAATATTATATAGTGAATACAAAATTGCACCGATTCTGTCTGAATTTGCATCTCGAGACATAGGTTCCTTGTATACATGTCCTATGCAACTCATTGTCTATGGGAGTGAGAGAATTCAGTAACAACACCCCTCTACAAGAAAATGATAAATTATTTACTCTTCTTCATAAATTCTTTCCATTAAAAAAGTTGACCATACCGGTACATTTATATCAATTTTCGGTGAGGAATATCAAAAGAACTTGAAAAGAAAGAAAGCCCACATCGTCTTTGATAAGTCTCACTACTTGACAAAAGACTCGACTCCGTTTCGTTCACTATCAGCCATGCATGAAGTCTTCTGTCTACGGCCGATTGTCAACAGCAGCCAGCTAAAAACGAATTTGTTTTAAAAAAATTATTGAAATGCAAGCACTACTTTAAACAAACAGAACTTTGTTATTCCTAGCTCGTTTTTCCTGACTGAGGTGTCATATGAAAGGGCAGAAACTCAACTTTCTAGAAATGTGTTTTTCTCCTTGAAATTCAGATACCGTCCGCCAAATGACTTTTTGGTTTCCTCTCTTCAAGTCCGTTTTAATCAGTCATGCGTGAAATATGCATTATATGAGTTGCATCAAATGAAATAGGAGGATTTTAGCTTTCAAATATGTGTCATTTGTTAATTAAGTTATGATAAAACATCGACAATTCTCGGTTTTGTTTTTTCTGGGACGCACTATATATGTCAAAATTTTAACTTTTTTTTTATAAATTTCAAACTTACCTCCTTCAAATTGGTCCAAATTTGAGTTTTAGCCCATCAGCAATACGGTACTGGGTCAAATTTGAAGATTTCCAGCTTCTCATAAATTTCGCAAAAAAAGCTTATTTTCACCTTTGATTGTAAGTAATTGTAAGTAAACAGGCCAGGCCCAATAGATTTTTACATGCGAGACAACAGTACAACAGGTTCAAATTAAATATATACATTCATAAAACTGGGCTTGATCAGGTCAAAAAGGTGGCTAGAATTTCTCCTGTAAAATATATATGTATTATTTTATTTAGGATTCTTATTTTTAACTCTATTTTGCTTTCAAAATAGTGAATTTCTCCCCTCCCTTCCTCTTTACAAGGTCGATCTCGGAACAGAAATAATATTCACCCCCCTGAAAAATGATGACTCTTCATCCATTGAGTGTAGCCTTTTCATTGTGCTAGGAGGTATATACTATAAAACAACGGGATACAAATATAAATTTACATGATCGTGGCCACAAATAACTCATCATAGATCAGAACCTGAAGAATAAGAGATCACACAGATGAGCAGAATATCACCCTCAGGGCAGCTTGTCCTAGAGTTGTCGGTGGAATCTTTGTTTCTTCCAAAACCATGAATTCTGTCTCTCTCCAATCATCATATCAAGTCCTTCACCAGTACTTGATGTTTATATATTAATATATATTCCATTTTCTAAAATTGTTTTTGTTCTTTGATGATGAGTTGTGGAGCTATTTTGAGAAGAACTTCCACCAAATGACGACACCGAGGATCGCAAGCTCCACGAGGATGATTCCAGATAAGATGAGTTTGTTTGTGATGACTCTGCACAAAAATGACAGTAAGAAACATAAAGAAACATAAACATTGAGAAAACATGCACGTACACGTAAATCAAAGAGTGCATAATGTCCAAGCCTTTTTGGTCCTAAACAAGGCATAATATACATACAATCGCACAATGCACTGTGTTCTAAATTACAAAAATGATTAAGCGTACTACACTTGGGTCACCATCATATCTGAATGAGGCTTAATTGACAACGAGAGTATAATCCCCTTTAAAGATATCTGTTCTGGTCATGCGATTGCATTGTGAAAGAAACAGTGTGGAATCAACCAGAAAAGGTTTATCATCTAGCATATATACATGTAAGTATTGGTGTGTACTGCAAGGTTCTGGAATCATCAAAATGATAAGAAATTTGGCCCAGTCTTGGTACATGCCATATTTAGAATATTAAGGCTTCAAGAGCCATGCTTTTCTGGGAACATTTTTAATCTGCTGTTCTTCCACAATTGCATGATAACAATGACAACGCTCGCAAACTATTTTTCACCTCTTCCCAGAACTCGACCTAATCTTTAATGTTAATTAGTAAGGCTATCAACCTAATACAATGATCAGGAATACTATCATCGATATATGGGAGAAGACATCTTTAACTTGCCAAAATACATGTTATAAACATTCCAGTAATCTATTACCATTCAGAGCCAAAAGGGCATTAAAAGAAACCTCACCCCAAAGAGTGTACAAAAGATGCCTTTTAGCGAGACATGAGCGCAGCAATTTTCTTGATGATGTGACGTACCAGGCGTATCATGCTCCAAGCTCTGGTTGAAAATACTTTTCAATTCAATAGCAAAATCTTTACTTTTCATGAGGGAAAATCAGCTGAGAAGATATATAACGGAAGAACAATTATAACTCATTTATCTAAAGATAATCAAATGTAGCAGTCAACAAATCTATTTCTTTCATGAGAAACCTTCATCCAAAAAGACGATCAAATTATTTATGTAATTTGCATTTTGAGAATTGTAGTACAACAGATAATAGCAGGTGAATGAACTACTTCATTACCCCCATACACATCAGAAGGAAGCATCCATAAATGTGAATATTTACTTGATAAACGACTTTGCATACATGTAGTACGTCACTTTATCAAGAAAATGCTGAAAGCCCGTTTCATGATGAGAAAATAAGTTTTACCTACAGATTATAATGCTTACCTTCTTGCCATACTGTTAAGTATTCTTTTACTTCTGCTTAGATTATCATCTATATCTTCTACCTACAATATAAACAAAGAAAAAAAAAATTAGAGCATTTAATAATCTACAATCAAACTTCCATTTGCTCATCGTTTTTGCAAAAAAATGAAATTTTTTCTTTTAGTTTATAAGGTTTCAATACGTGTCCTTCCCAGTCATAAGGTTGATCAAACCCCATTTGTTCCTTAGAGGGGCGTTTAGGCAAATTAGAGAAAAAGTGGAAAATCATCACTTTTTGGCCAAAATGGCGTTTTTGCGAAAAGATTAACAAATTTCCTTTGTGTTTATTTGGTTTCAATGAATGTCTTTTCGAGTCCTGGGCCCCATTTCACCAAACTTTTCAAAAGTGACAAAGGACAATTTTTCTTGAAAGCTAGTGAAATCCTAGCTTCTGATTGGTTATAAGCAGGTTTGTCACTGATCTTTGTCATTTGTCATTGATTTTTTTAAAAAATTTTTTATTTGATTTATTAGTTTCTGCATCTTTTTTACATAACATGGCTTGATACAATATTTCAAGTGTATATAATTTTATACAGATAATAAACAATATTAAACAAATATATTGTATTTAAACAAATATATTGAATGCACAATTAACATACATTAGATGCAGGAGGGCTACAGAAATAAGCAAAGTAGCTTGACGTGCCGGCAGCCCTCAACTTAGATACAAAAATACAAATAAAAATGAAAAAGAGTGACTTGCAGAGAAGAAAAGGAAAGGGCAGAGAAGGAGCGTTGGTAATAATACCATAAATCTCATACATCTGCTGATTGAATGCAGGTTCATTCATGAATGGAAAAACGATGCTAGGTCATGGACGATTACACAGCATTGTTGAATATACAGTCAATGTACACACGAACATGAATACAGTAGAATTACACACGACATGATCAATAACATAGTTTTAACTGCCTTCTTAAAAGAATACAATGTCCTAAGGTTTCTTATTACAATGGGCAGAGAGTTCCAGATGTCTGGGCCGGCGTGTCTAATGGATTTGAGAGCCAGTGCGGTTTTTGGATTTCTTAAATGGAATTTTTCAGTTTGTCTTGTGGGGTAAGAGTGGATGGTTTTATTCAAATTAAACAGTGGGGGAAAGTATGAAGGTAGTAGACCATTTTGTAAGCGAAACATGAAAAGTGTTATTTGTAGAAAATTTATATCATCAGCTTTTAGAGTTTTTAGTTTTGAAAACAAGGAATTGGTGTGGTCACGATAGGAAGAATCAGTACATATACGCATGGCTTTCTTTTGTAACAGTAAAATGGCAAAAAGGCTTTGTAAAATGGGTCCCTGGTTAAGATTACATTGCTTATTTGCCCATGCCCCAGTGTGAAAAGCATACAAGAGCTAATAATTTTACTCTTTCGATGTGAAGAAATGTTCTGAAATTTGATGGGCGAGCTGAATGGTAACCCTCTGATGAGCAGTGCCCCTCCCGCTTTATTAGCAAAACCCCAATGATTTTATTGTTCAAGTGTGACCATTTCTATTTCATTGTTAGAGTCAAACTATAAATACATATATAATTTATTGTTATTGTCAACGAGGAGATCTGACTAGCCCCATACGATGTGCTTACCCGCTCTCTTGTCCTAATAAGTTGTTCCTTCTGCCCGTCGAGTTCATCCAGGATACCAACCCCTATCTCATCCGTCTCCGCTGCTATCCTCTGCGTTCTGTCAAGGCTCTGGCTAGTTCGGTTAAGACTCTCTATTCCTCCGATCACACGATTCTTCTGGGTGTCTTGGTGTGCCTGCAACAGAGAAAAATGGAAATTACCTAGCATCAAACAAAACGCCACATTCTGAAGAAATTTTGGAAAAATTTTGCTCTGTTTTAATCACAACACAGTAGACATATTTACTAACATAGACAAATGTATGGATGTTACTTTCCCTGGGGACCTGTTATTAATGAATGATCTACAATACTTGAAATCCAGTCTGCATATATTATTTGTTGCTATGTCAGGAAGGCCTCAGACAAGTTTTCAGGTTTTCAAGAACGACCTTTGTTTAAAAAAGTATGCATAAAATTTGAATATGTTAGTAAACTAGTCTATTTGTCAGGTGCCTTAAAGAGGTTTCTTTTGGCCGATTTTGGTAAGAAATTTTCAATTTGAAATCTATTCATTTGAGAAAAATTACAATTTCTAGCGCTGACTTCATCTTACTTCTAGCTAATTCCTGTGTAATGATTAGTTCAAAACCCATCTCTCTGAAATTTATGACTTCAGATACATATGTTAAACTTCTTCCAAGCAGCCAGTATGTTTTCCTATGGTCTATGAATACTTCATGCTGTAAATATTATGTTTGTACCTTGATAAAGTGGTAATGATTAAAAACACCTCCAGACAATAATAACAGACTTACTAGTAGCTGTATTGCATGAATGAGTACCTAGTACCTAAAACTCATTACAACACAGGTATTTTTAACTAAAAACATTTTCTTTTTCACACAAGTGACATCAACTCATCAAGCCATTCCCATACATTTTCTACATCATTCCCTATAAGTCTTCTTTAAAGGGATTTTGTAGCTTTGCAAAACTTGAGTAAATCGGACTGAATGGTGTAAAATCCATTTGCTATGAATATAATTAATAACTTGTGAAAGTGTCAGAAAAATTGAAATTCATTTACTATCTTAAAAAAGTGAAAATAAATGATGTTCTTGAAGCGAATTTTTAACCGAAGAAGCCAGAGATCGATGTTTGAAATAGTATTTAGTCTAGCGTCCTCATGCGTTCGTCATGGAACATTTGTGATTTGTGTGCTTAGTAGAAGTCGAACGATATGCGATACGACTACAAAAATATCGTATACGATACACATCCGAAAATTCTGCTTGCGATCGACGACTCGACGACGTGTCGTCTGCTATTGAGAAACGAAGAGACAGAGTAGATACGTAAACGTTCGTACTCTTCGACAATAATGTTGGTGAGATGCTAATTTTCAACCTTCGCAGATCTAAAGTTACTGTTCGAGATGATTGTGTAGCTGTATGGCGTAGCCTGGAAGACTGAAATAGGTAATTTTTTGTCAATATCTGCAGACTAAATAGAATCTAGAATCACAATAAGTAGGGTCTGCTGCTTGCATGATATCGCGAGCGTTGTAGGCGCCTATAGTAGGAGACCAGCCTGTAGGTCCCGTGACCAATCTCGGGGAACAAAGGTTTGAAAGTGTTTTTGTGTTCCCTGATGAATACCGAACAATTTTGACTTGGGCTGCCCCCTTGAAAATCCCAGGCATTTTCGTGAGGGGTCAACAAAGGTCATACAGGGTTGAAATTCAAATATACTCCAATCGTGTCGATATGCATATCGAATTACTCGTCTGGTCATGAGGATTCAAAAAATGTATAGTTTGCTATACCTCCGACCTTAAATGAGGGCGCTATGGTCAAAAACGTTGAAAGGTCAACACACTTTTGACTGGTGGTCAAATTCACCAACACAGTGAACCTTGTCAAATTTCACATCAAATTACTCGTCTGATCATGAAGATTCCAAAAATGTATAGTTTGTTATACCTCCGACCTTAAATGAGGGCGCTATGGTCAAAAAGGTCAATGCACTTTAGACTGGTGGTCAAATTCACCAACACAGTTAACATTGTCTGATTCTAATGATTTTAGTGTCATATAATATGTTTTCTGACACGGCAAATTCAACTATACAACTTTCAAAAGTAAAAGTACTTACCTTGACCATGTACATTCAAAATGGCTGCTGTTTCGGTGACAAACATATATAACTTCTTATCCATGGGTTTGAGGGAAATTTCAAGGTTATGGCAACCACTTTTGGTTTTAAAAGTTGCTTAGTTGAATTTGTTATGTCAGAAAACATATTATTAGACACTAAAATCATTAGAATCGGACGTTGTTAACTGTGTTGGTGAATTTGACCACCAGTCTAAAGTGCATTGACCTTTTTGACCATAGCGCCCTCATTTAAGGTCAGAGGTATAACAAACTATACATTTTTGGAATCTTCATGATCAGACGAGTAATTTGATGTGAAATTTGACAAGGTTCACTGTGTTGGTGAATTTGACCACCAGTCAAAAGTGTGTTGACCTTTCAACGTTTTTGACCATAGCGCCCTCATTTAAGGTCGGAGGTATAGCAAACTATACATTTTTTGAATCCTCATAACCAGACGAGTAGTTTGATATGCATATCGACACGATTGGAATATATTTGAATTTCTACCCTGTATGACCTTTGTTGACCCCTCACGAAAATGCCTGGGATTTTCAAGGGGGCAGCCCAAGTCAAAATTGTTCGGTATTCATCAGGGAACACAAAAACACTTTCAAACCTTTGTTCCCCGAGATTGGTCACGGGACCTACAGGCTGGTCTCCTACTACTACAGCGATAGCGCTAGCGCTAGCATAGCCGCCTGGTTACAAACCGAGTTAGTCATACAAAATATTAGCTGGCCGGGGCTTTGATTCTATGAAAGCCTCCCGAAAATTATGTTGTCGCTAACCAGCTTCTTCCATCTCCTATTAATATTATACGAATAGAATGTTTCTCTCCCATTTAGTTTCCTTTAATTTGAAGGGAAAGTATGAAATTAAATAAAAATCGTTTGAACTCGCTGCTGTGTCTTTCATTACATAGACATAGTAATTAGTACGGTGCTGTCATCGTACTATAGGCTACATAGACGTATCCTATAGTTATACCGCATACCAGCGCAGCGGCAGTGACCAGTGCAGTGCAGTATACGCAGGCTGGCTCGCGCCGGCGTATTCCCCGCTCAGTGTTGATGAATTTCGGACAAAAAAGGTTCCACCGATTTATATTTAGTTTTCAATTTTCCTCACGGTTTTAATTTGTTAACTATATGTCAGTGAACTTGTGTTTCTGACAGTTTTGTCAAATGATGCAAAGGGATGTTATTCTGAGCTGAGCACACTTTTATTTTTAACTCTAAAATAAATTAAATAATACTAGATTTAGAGCCTAGACTAGAGAGGCTAGAGCTAGAGGTCTAGGCCTAGGCCATTTTTCGTAATGTAACCAAAATTAATGCATAAGTCTTTGTGAAGTGCCTCAATACAATTTATTTCATTCACCCGGTAACTAAGAATAATAGTATTTCAATAGATCTAGACATAATTCAAACTGCATACATTAGTTGTTGCCAGGTTGGACAAACATTATGGCTTGACCTAGCAACACTTGGTATATGCAGTTTGCATTCTGACTATTATTCTTATCAGGTGAATGAAATAATTGGTATTGAGGCACTTCACAAAGACTTGTGCATTAAATTTGGTTACATTACGAAAATGGTCTATTGCTATAGTCTAGACCCTAGACCTAGTATTATTGTGAGGAATAGAGGTCGAGATCTAGTACTAGTATTATTATTATGTAATCGTTTACTCTTTCTCTGTATTTTACTACTCCCATGCCCAGAGTTTTACCCAAAAAGATATTTAATGTTATAATATAGACCAGTATAGACATACATGTAGTTGAAATAAAACTTTAAATAGTGTCTAAGGGCTATTTGATTCGTCTGATGCAAGGTACAGTAAGTGCAAAATTGTTTTGCTATATTTTACTTTGCTATAAACTATGTGATTTTTTAAAAAAATCCCACAATAAAAACAAGTATCAAATATATTTCTAAAGCAAAACATGTGGTATCATTAAGTTTTATTTTAACATTTTTGTTGACTAACAATTATACTCGTAATATGGTTCAAAAGCTTCTAAACCTAGTTCAGTAATTTTTGGGGTTGTTCTCTGCGTTTGCGGGCTTTGCGGCATGCTTATTGAACGTTATAGGAAATACTCAATTACACACCAGAACGTGATTCTATTTGCGAAACGGGATAAGAGTGAAATTAACAAAATTTCTTATAAATAACTTCAAAAATTGGTATGTCTTAGCATTTGGAGGGAGTCTCATGCCACCTCGCTCATTCTCCTGCCGTCCCACCAGCTCATAGCTGGAGAGTGGAGACTCTTGCCCTTCCTCCTGCTCTGCCGCAAACAATGTACAATCTTCTGGTTTATGAAAAAAGCCTCCTGCCAAACGTGTATAATGAAAATCTTTTGCATACGATACGGTACGCCTGTACGCTGGTTCGTCTGAAGATAAAAAATCCCTCCAAGCAGTTCCCCAAAGTTGTTAGTCCTGTGTACATCATATGATTGGTACATGTATATGACCTAGCTGTTTGAAATGTTTAAGATCTAAAGGCATTGTTTTGGGGTATGATCCCAATAGTTACTACAAATAAAATATATCATGTTTTTTTTATTTATTTTTTATTATGTGGGCCTGCAAAAGGGAGTTTGATCTGTGCTATCTCAGGTATAAAGAGATTATAGTACAATCACTAGTAATCATCTGCAGTAGCTAAACGATACTGGTTGCCGTTTTATCCTTGATGCGTTTTACAGTTTGACTGCTTGTGTTGTATTGCTTACAGATACATGATGTTGTTTATTTGACGATGGAGTCTTTTCAGCGATGCAAGACACATGGAAGTGTAGGTAAATATGCTCTTTTTCAATGTCACCTAACCATGTTCATTTGTACTTGTCTGGACCCAAAAAGAAACATTCAGAGAATTATTACTTTGAGAAATTCTGTTACTTTTTCAAGAGCTATTGGGTAGGGAAAAGGGCGTGGGGGAATTTGAAATAAAAGTAAAATAAATTTGCCTGTCAGTATTACCTGTTTAGGTTCACTGCAGTATAATTGTTTTCATG